ATTATTAGGAAAAGAAGACGATTCGGTGTTCTGTTCTCGACTCTTAATCCTTATCTGAATTCAGTTCTCCCCTTCCTTCGCGAAGCGCGGAAGTTTTGGCGTTTCATTAAATTATTAGAGAAAGAAGACGATTCGTTGCGCCGTGCTCGAGTCTTAATCCTTGTCTGAATAAAGTTTCTCCCCTCCCGCGCGAAGCGCGGAAGCTTTGACGTTTCATAAAATATGAGAAAAAGCAGACGATTCGGTAAACTGTTCTCGACTCTTGATCCTTATCTGAATTCATCTAAATCCTTATCTGCATTCAGTTCTCCACCTCCATTAGACGTTTCCTCAAATTATTAGAGAAATTAAGAAGACGATTCGTTGAGCCGTGCTCGAGTCTTAATCCTTATCTGAATAAAGTTTCTCCCCTCCCGTGCGAAGCGCGGAATATTATGGCGTTTAATCAAAATATAGAGAAAGGAAGACGATTCGTCGTACCGTTGTTGACTCTTAATCTCTTTGTTTGAAATTAGTTTCCCCGAAAATTTTAAACCTCTGATTTCTTTAGCTGATATTATAGGAACGTGAAACTTCGAGAAAATACAAGTATTCACTCTCGAAGTCGTCACGGCGGATAAAAAGTCACAGTTCGTAGGGAAAAAAACTTGTCGGCCGACCGACATTATACATCTCACCGACTTCAAACGTCTGCATTGATATAGTACACGAGGATCGAGCAAGAATACTGACACAGCTGACCCGACACAGCAACATAATTATTTACCCGTGTCTTTCTTTCTTCCTTGACGAGACGACTCCACCCAACAACCCCCTTTCTTTTACTCCCACTCCTCCTTTCTCAGGCTCTTACCTCCCCCTCTCTCCCCTCTTTCACCCCGTTTCTTTTTGCTTCCCTTTTCTCTTTTTCTTCTTTTTTTCCTTTTCTTTCTTTTCTTTCTTTTCCTTTCTTTCCTTCCTTTTCCTTTCTTTCTTTTCTTTTCCTTTTTTCTTTCTTTCCCTTTCCCTCTCTTTTTTTCCCTCCCTCTTTTCTCTTTTTCCCGACGGCAGCGCAATTTTACCGACAATATCCTGACAGGTGGGGGGGGGGGGTCGTATCCCACCCCCCCCCCCCCCCCCCCCCCCCCCCCCCCCCCCCCCCCCCTTTGGCGACGCCCCTGCGTGGCGCAGGTGAATGCGTTTGCGTGCATTGAGGCTCTCTGGGAGCAGGCGTGCGTGGGTTTGAATGCATGTTGGAAACAGGATTGTGTCTGGGCTACGGCCTACATCATTGTATACATTACTGTAACATGATTGTTCATGTCTACTGCCTCGCTCGGGTGACCTCGTTCAATGACCTCATTTAATGACCTACTTCAACCAAATGTTAGTTTTATTTATGGGAACCTATAATCTACAAGCTGAGCTTTTTAATAGGTTCCTCACATTTCACTCTGTATAACCTTCTATTCATTACAATATATTTTGACGTCTTTTCAAAGAATTAATTATATAATGTGACACTTTTAGTATATTTCATATTATGTTCTAATTTTTGTCAATTATGTAAACTCTTTTATTTGTGAAATGTGAAATAAACTTGAAACTTGAAGGTTTAAATTTCACAGATAGGACATACATGACATATTCATAATTCCTGCAAAACGTTCTACAAAATTTGATGTTGGCTGCAAAAGGGACACAGTATCTTTAAGTCATGGAAATATTACTAATATCATCCACATGTTTCCAAGAGTTTTCATTGAAAACATAGGGGTATGAAAACAAACTAGATATCACACTTTACCTTCCTTATCGAAAGGAAAGTTGGCAAGAATGGTTAACTTAAGCTGTCATTAGTTCCATGAAAAGTCAAACAAAATTGGCCGTTAACAAGGAGTAAAGTATGAACACACATATGCCCATGATGTACATGTATAGGTTGAAAATGCGAGAGAGCCGCCACATAATCACCTTCTTCTCACAAATCCATATCTGCCCTTCCCCTTTTTATAAAGCACAAAGTGGGCTTGTGAAACAAAAAATGGTTATGATCCATTGCATTGATTCAATATTTATTTAGCTATTTGCCTTCTTACATATTTTGTCAAAGGCTTTGAGGTCTGTAAGGTTTATGATCGGAAGTTCGCGATATCGCCGACCTACTCCTACCTGCTCAGTGAACGTGTTTGCACGAATCTTCCGACAATGGAGTACAAATTAAACAATGATACAGCAATATTTTTGGCTGATCGCCTCCTAGTTTTGGTGCACTCAAGTTCGGAAGCACACTCATTCATGAAACTGCATTATATAGAGGAAGTTGTTGTACTTTAAAGCTTATCTGCCGTAGTTTACAGGAGGGATTAGACTGCCCTGCAAGGTCACTGGACAGGTGGTTATCTCATCAACTCAGCTCTCAGTTAACATAAGAAAAAGAGGATCATGGGGGACCAATGGTCACCGATTAGGCATTGTTTGTTATATAGAGGGCACAAGTAGCTACAAGTAGTGCAGTGGGCCTTTAATTGAAAATCCATGCCAAACGAAACTGTTTTTTATACATGTATATAAGAGAAGGTTTTTAATTTGTACTTCAATTGGTACTCTATGCCAAGTTCTGCTTACAAGCTGTTGTCTCAATAAACTCCCGCAAAAAAAAAAAAAGAGAGAAGAAAGGAAAAGAAGGGAAAGGGAAAGAGGAGAGAAGGGAAAGAAAGAAGAGGGAAGAAAAAGAAGAAAAAAAAGGGGGAAAGAAGGAGGTCGGGGGGGGGGGGGGGGGGGGGGCGAAAGGGCCTTGCCTCCCAGGCTGTTGACCACCCCCCCCCCCCCCAATCAAAAAAATAAGAGAGAAGGAAGGAAGTGGGAAGAAATGACATAATTTCCGAGATTTTTCCTCACTTTTTAGTAAATACGTTTGTATGTGTTTGTTGGAGAATGACAAATAACTAAATTTACAGCCAGGCAAGAAATGTGATTCTCGAGATTCCTAAATGTCAGGCCCGAGGTGGGGCGGGGATCGGGAGCCTCGAGCTCCCCCCCCCCCCCCCCCCCACTTTTTCGAAAAAGTATATTGAAGAGAAATAAAATAGAATGAGAGCAAGAAAGAAAGAATAGTTAACTGCCAGTGTTAAAAATTAATGAGGCATCTAAATATGCTCATCTGACCGTGATTAAATGCCTAAAACCCCTAAGCTCCCGCGGGCTCTGCCCCTGGATTCCACCTAGGACCCTACGGCGGGCCCTTAGATGCTCACCTGACGGTAATTTAATGCCTAAATCCCCTGATTTTTTGGGGCTCCGCCCCATGAAATCCACGCCAAATAGTGACCTGCCAGTGTCATAAAATAATAAGATATAACAAAAAAATGCTCATCTGACCTTAATTAAACGCCTAAAACCTGAATTCAGACGAGGATTCAGAGACGAGAACGGTATTACGAATCTTTAATGATTTAATGAAACGTAAAAGTTTCCGCGCTTCGCGCGGGATCGAGGGGAAACTAAATTCCGACGAGGATTATTTTCGAGAACGGTACAACGAATCGTCTTCTTTCTCTAATGATTTAATGAAAAATTAAAAACCGCGCTTTGCACGGCAGGGGGGAACCTGAATTCAGACGAGGATTAAGAGTCGAGAACTGTACAGCCAATCGTCTTCTTTCTCTCATAACATTATGAAACGTAAAAGCTTCCGCGCTTCGCGCGGGAAGGGGGAGGGAACCTGAATTCGGACGAGGATTAAGAATCGAGAACTGTACAACGAATCGTCTTCTTTCGAATGATTTAATAAAACGTAAAAGCTTCCGCGCTTCGCGCGGGAGAAGGGGGGGGGGGGGAACTGAATTCAGACGAGGATTAAAAGTCGAGAACTGTACAGCCAATCGTCTTCTTTAACTCATAATCTTACAAAATTTAAAAGCTTCTGCGCTTTGCGCGAGAAGGGGGGGGGTCCTGAATTCGGACGAGAATTAAGAGTCGAGAACTGTACAACGAATCGTCTTCTTTCGAATGATTTAATGAAACGTAAAAACGGGAGGGGGGACTGAATTCAGACGAGGATTAAGAGTCGAGAAAACGTACAACGAATCGTCTTCTTTCTCTAATGATTTAATGAAACGTAAAAGCTTCCGCGCTTCGCGCGAGAGCCGAGATGGGGGGGGGGGGGGAAAACCTAGTTCAGACGAGGATTAAAAGTCGAGAGCTCTTCAAAGAATCGTAATAATTTAATAAATCGTAAAATGTTCTTGTGAAACGTCAAAGCTTCCACGCGAAGCGCGGGAGGGGGAACCTGAATTCAGAGGCGAGAACGGTAATACGTATCTTTAATGATTTAATGTTACCTTCCGCGCTTCGCGCGGGATGTAGGGGGAAATAAATTCCGACAAGGATTATTTTCGAGAACGGTAGAACGAATCGTCTTCTTTCTCTAATGATTTAATGAATCGTAAAAGCTTCCGCGCGAAGCGCGGGAGGGGGGAACCTGAATTCAGACGAGGAGTAAGAGTCGAGAACTCTCCAAAGAATCGTAATAATTTAATAAATCGTAAATTTTTCCGCGCTTCGCGCGGGAGGGGAAAAACTAAATTTAGACGTACCAATATTTGGCTCGCATAATTTCAAATTTGGGCCCCCCCCCTAAGAAATCCTGGATCCGCGCCTGGATGTACATGCCAGGTTGAAAATGCGAGAGAGCTGCCACATAATCACCTTCTTCTCACAAATCCATGTCTGCCCTTCCCCTTTTTATAAAGCACAAAGTGGGCTTGTGAAACAAAAAATGGTTATGGTCCATTGCATTTATTCAATATTTATTGAGCTATTTTTGCCTTCTTACATATTTTGTCAAAGGCGTAGAGGTCTGTAAGGTGTATGATTGGAAGTTCGCGATATCGCGGACCTACTCCTACCTGCTCAGTGAACGTGCTTGCACGATTCTTGGGACAATGGAGTAGAAATTGAACAGTGACACAGCAATATTTTTGGCTGATCCCCTCATATAGTTGCGGTGCACTCAAGATCGGAAGCACACTCATTCATGAAACTGCATTATATAGAGGAAGGTGTTGTACTTTAATTGACAATCCATGCGAAGTTCTGCTTACAAGCTGTTGTCTCAATGAACTTCTCATCATGACTTCTGTTCATGTCACTGCGTTTGTTCTCCTGCTTCTCATCGACATAAGTTTTACACAAGTTACTGTCGACGTGGGAGAATTGGGCGAAATCGAGGGGAACGAGTATGAGTTTGATGGCAAAACGATGACTGAGTTTTTGGGTGTTCCATACGCAGAGCCTCCAGTCGGGGAGTTCCGATTCGCCCGTCCACGACCCAAAGTTGCTTGGATCGAAAAATTAAACGCGACGACGTTTGGTGCTGCCTGTCCACAGCAACCAGTGGAAGGCCTCGATGATCTGCAGATTAGCGAGGATTGTCTCTTTTTGAACATCTTCGTACCACCTAACGCAACTGCCGATAATAAACTGCCCGTCATGTTATTCATACCAGGTCGTGGGTATCGAGCCTACTCGGGATCAGAGTACATCGGACTAGAGATGGCCGTGACAGGTCCTATCATCATCGTCACCATCAACTACAGGTTCCTCACATTCGGCTTCTTCAGTACCGGTGATGACACTGCACCGGGTAACTATGGTCTTTGGGATCAACAGTTGGCCATAGAGTGGGTGCGGGATAACATCGGGGCTTTCAATGGTGACGGTAGTAAGATCACCATCGTTGGTCAAGGGCGAGAGGGGGCTACAGGAGTTGTATCTCAGATTCTTTCCCCTTTAAACAACAACGGGCTATTCCAACGGGCGATTGTTCAGAGCAGTACAGCCACTGACCTATCCTACATCAGTGCGGAGGGTCAAGCTACGAGGCTGTCCAAGATCCTTGTGGATACTCTCAACTGCAGTCAAAGATCATGGACAGAAAATCTAGCTTGTCTTCGAGAAAAATCGTGGCAAGATATAGTAGCCGTCAATTATTCTGTTCTCGGTGGTGGTTACTTCGAGCCTCGAATTGATGGATACTTCTTTCCAGATTCCCTCGACAATCTTCTCGAAAAAAACCTTACACACCAATATGACCTCCTGGCAGGCATCAACAGTGACGAAGGAGCTGCACTCTTAAACGGTTACGTAGATATCAATGACGCATTCGAAACAGTGCAAGACGTCTGGAACTTTGCTTATTATGATACCAGGCAGAGGTACAGCAGTGATGACCAGGCGATACTTGTGATGAATGCCATCGACTATAGATACGACGGCCCTCTTCTTGAGCTTCCGGATAGAGAAAGCGCTTTACGTTTTATGTTTAGTATGTATGGTGACCGCTCCTACGTCTCTAAGACCATACAGCTCCTACGAAACCATCAATTGAGCCCCGACACGAATACATTTATGTATTACTTTGACTACGTGGACGTGGATCAAAACTTTACATTGATTGATGACCCTCTTCGAGATTTCACGAAGGCAGTTCAGGGTGAGGAGCTGTTCTACCTTTGGGATACGATTTTCGGCAGGCAGACGGCTTCGGCTGCTGCATCTGGGAGTACGTCGGAGTCACTTCGTGCAAAAATGATTCAATATTGGACCAACTTCGTGAACAATGGGTGGGTATTACAACATTCTTACTATTCCGAAAGTTGCAATAAACGATAAACTACTATGTTAAGATCAATGAGGAAGTCGACACTACATTTGTCTACTAAAGTTTATTAAATGGCACGTGTTTGCAAGGAACCGAATTACCCTAATTAATGTCATATTTCAAGTTTTCAAACTGCGAGCAAATGAAGGGAGTGAGAGAAACACAAACATTCATCAATTTGTAAAGAAATTTAAACTTGTCAGAAAGATATTTGCCTCAATATGAGGAGAAGATTGCCTGAATATTGGTATTCTCAAAATGGTGGATGGAGGGCAGCTCCAAGCTCCCGCCTTAATTGTACGCCTCTGATTAGAAGTCTTCCAAAGTGTTGATGTAAGAATAGGAGAAGTTAACTCAAACTCTCAGGCTGGCGAGCGATTGTCATTCCTATCCATGAAGGCAGAAATTCTGCTTCTACAAGAGTTTACTTCTGTCTTATACTTTATATTTACAATTGTTATCAAGTTTTCCTCAGCAAGCCCCTTAAAGTATGGTTCGGAAACATCATATACAATCTAAAAAGTGGCACAGATTAATACAACTTTGGAGTGGAAATCTTTTTTAAAGACGGAATTATTTGGATACATTTCTGTATTCAATATCAATGTTCAAAGTTTACAACAGTACAACATACAAAGTATATTACGATCATAAAATACAAACACCATTCAATTCCTTCTCTTTGTTTAAAGTGTTTTATTATTTTTTAATATTTCATTTGTCTTTATTATTTATATATATAATTTTGTTTTAATATGCAGAGATCCAAATACTGGCAGTGCAAATCAGCTCACGGACTGGCCACAGTTCAACAACACCGAGAGTTATCTGCTGATCTCTAACACCATAGAAACGGGACAGCGTCTCAGGGACGAGTACATCAGCTTCTGGCTAGACTACATTCCAGAACTAACGCAGAACGACGATGCAGACACATGCTCCCTGGTTGCACCAGCTTCAGATATCTTACGAGGAGCCGAAGCAGAATCTGATGAGTTCGTGGTTATAGATGTAACTAATGGCAACTCTGAGTTGGGACAGATCCGAGGCATCCTTCGCAGAGCAGACGAGGGTGTCGGTGGTCGAGAAATCCAAAGTTTCCGCGGTATTCCGTACGCCTCACCACCAGTCGGCGAAAGACGGTTCCAGTATTCCGAGGTCCTAACTGACTGGGGTCAAGGTGGCATCCGCAACGCTACGGAACCTTCAGCAGGGTGTCCTCAGGGCTTTACCCCTATTCTGGGCGCAGCGGAATACAACGAGGACTGCCTCTACCTCAACATCTTCGCACCTGTGGCTGATCAAACCGGCGGAGTTGGTTTTCCTGTCATTGTTTATCTTCATTCTGGTCTGTTAACGTCTGGCAATGGTGGCGTATTTGACGGGACTACTCTCGCTTCTTATGCCGAATCAGTGGTGGTCACTCTAAACTACCGTATTGGAGCACTGGGTTTTCTATCGACCGGCGATGACGCCGCTCCAGGCAACTATGGCATCATTGACGTCGTTACGGCTCTGCAATGGATCCAAACATACATCAGCAGTTTCGGCGGTGACGCTGGCAGTGTTACTGCACTTGGAATGGGATCCGGTGCCCAAATTGCTCACTTGATTTCATTGAACAAACTCAATAATGGGCTTATGCATAAGATCATTGCATTTGGTGACTCCGTTTTATCGCCCACTATTTTGACATCAGGCGAAAGGGATCCTCTTCAGTTTGCTGTCCAACTTGCGAGTGCCCTCGATTGCCCTTCAGAACCAACAACCGCGCTTGTCACATGCCTACGAACCAAATCAGCGACAGAAATCCTTCAGGCACCTGTTGGTGGCGACAGTCTTGGCATAATTACGTTTTTCCCCGTAGTGGATGGTACATTCCTAAAGAACTCTTCGGATAAGATACTGGCTTCAGGTGACTACGAAACCATTCCCTTTCTCACAGGAGCAACTGAATGTGACAACACCTTAATCACTGTTCTGTACTTGAACGCTTCTGTGTCCAATGGCTGCCCAGATGAACTGTTTGCAGGAGCTATCATCGATGATGCCGTCAACACTTTCTACGGCGGCAAGGACGAGTTCGCCTCCCTTTTTAAGATGTTTTACCTTAAGAGCGAACTCTCCCCAACTGTCCCGGACATCGACTGCAAGGTCGGGCAGCAGATTAGTGAATTCCTGAGTGATCTGTGGCTCAACGTTCCTCTTCTAGAGACGGGGAAATTGATGGCTAGATTTGACAAGGAGATGTACTTGTATTCCTTGACCTTTCATCCTGACAACCATGTCTATCAACTATTTCTACCACCCTGGGTAGAGACGTCTTTTGGTGATGATGTCCCGTATGCCTTCGGCTGGCCATACGACAGACAGAGGATCCTGCAGAGCACCAAAGGCTACAGCCCGATCGATAGGAAAGTCTCCATCAACTTCATGGAAATGATTTCGACGTTCGCAAAGACAGGGTAAGATCGTCACTTCGAAAGTATGATAATAAGCAAAATATAGGCCTACCTCAGCTGCTGTTTATTAAGCAACAACGTAGTGTTAAATATAAGATGTTATTAGCACTTCATATGGCCGAGCCATCAGTACATTTAGTTTGGCTAATTCAGTCTCAGTAAGGCAAATACGTTGCCCCATAGTCGGGCAAGCGTACTTCAAAACAAATAATTTATTATCATTATTATCATTATAACTATGATAGTATATATATATATTCTCTCTCTCTCTCTCTCTCTCTCTCTTCTTAAAGGGGGGGGGGGGGGGGTTGTCGTGACCCCAAGTCTCCTTCGAACCTTTATTGGCTCGACTGAACTTTATTAAGTATGTCTTGTATTAACGAGAAAATAAAAATTGTTTAGTGGTGAACTGAATAGAAAATATTAATGGTAATCATATTATCTCTACTCATTCCATCATTTGTTTCTATTTATAATGAAGTAAATCAACTGAATAGACTTTCACTTTGTATTTCGCCTTGTTTCAGTGTTCCGTCAGCCAATCCTACAGACCCAGAGTCAGTATGGCAGCCGTACGACCCACTCCGTTACAACGCTCTCCACCTCGATGTCTGTCCGACACAGGCACCCATTCCCCGCGCCGAGGAGAAAGACATCTTCTGGTTCACCGTCATCGCTGGCTTGAAGGAAAAGCTCGACGACGACGACGAAGAAGAACCGACATGCTCCCTAGTTGCACCAGCTTCAGATATCTTACGAGGAGCCGAAGCAGAACCTGATGAGTTCGTGGTTATAGATGTAACTAATGGAAACTCTGAGTTGGGACAGATCCGAGGCATCCTTCGCAGAGCAGACGAGGGTGTCGGTGGTCGAGAAATCCAAAGTTTCCGCGGTATTCCGTACGCCTCACCGCCAGTCGGCGAAAGACGGTTCCAGTATTCCGAGGTCCTAACTGACTGGGGTCAAGGTGGCATCCGCAACGCTACGGAACCTTCAGCAGGGTGTCCTCAGAACCCGACCCCTATTCTTGGCGCAACGGAATACAACGAGGACTGCCTCTACCTCAACATCTTCGCACCTGTGGCTGATCAAACCGGCGGAGTTGGTTTTCCTGTCATTGTTTATCTTCATTCTGGTCTGTTAACGTCTGGCAATGGTGTCGTATTTGACGGGAGTACTCTCGCTTCTTATGCCGAATCAGTGGTGGTCACTCTAAACTACCGTATTGGAGCACTGGGTTTTCTATCGACCGGCGATGACGCCGCTCCAGGCAACTATGGCATCATTGACGTCGTTACGGCTCTGCAATGGATCCAAACATACATCAGCAGTTTCGGCGGTGACGCTGGCAGTGTTACTGCACTTGGAATGGGATCCGGTGCCCAAATTGCTCACTTGATTTCATTGAACAAACTCAATGACGGGCTTATGCATAAGATCATTGCATTTGGTGATTCCGTTTTATCGCCCACTATTTTGACATCAGGCGAAAGGGATCCTCTTCAGTTTGCTGTCCAACTTGCGAGTGCCCTCGATTGCCCTTCAGAACCAACAACCGCGCTTGTCACATGCCTACGAACCAAATCAGCGACAGAAATCCTTCAGGCACCTGTTGGTGGCGACAGTCTTGGCATAATTACGTTTTTCCCCGTAGTGGATGGGACATTCCTGAAGAACTCTTCGGATAAGATACTGGCTTCAGGTGACTACGAAACCATTCCCTTTCTCACAGGAGCAACTGAATGTGACAACACCTTAATCACTGCTCTGTACTTGAACGCTTCTGTGTCCAATGGCTGCCCAGACGAACTGTTTGCAGGAGCTATCATCGATGATGCCGTCAACACTTTCTACGGCGGCAAGGACGAGTTCGCCTCCCTTTTTAAGATGTTTTACCTCAAGAGCGAACTCTCCCCAACTGTCCCGGACATCGACTGCAAGGTCGGGCAGCAGATCAGTGAATTCCTGAGTGATCTGTGGCTCAACGTTCCTCTTCTAGAGACGGGGAAATTGATGGCTAGATTTGACAAGGAGATGTACTTGTATTTCTTGACCTTTCATCCTGACAACCATGTCTATCAACTATTTCTACCACCCTGGGTAGAGACGTCTTTTGGTGATGATGTCCCGTATGCCTTCGGCTGGCCATACGACAGACAGAGGATCCTGCAGAGCACCAATGGCTACAGCCCGATCGATAGGAAAGTCTCCATCAACTTCATGGAAATGATTTCGACGTTCGCAAAGACAGGGTAAGATCGTCACTTCGAAAGTATGATAATAAGCAAAATATAGGCCTACCTCAGCTGTTGTTTATTAAGCAACAACGTAGTGTTAAATATAAGATGTTATTAGCACTTCATATGGCCGAGCCATCAGTACATTTAGTTTGGCTAATTCAGTCTCAGTAAGGCAAACACGTTGCCCCATAGTCGGGCAAGCGTACTTCAAAACAAATCATTTATTATCAATTTTATCATTATAACTATGATACTATATATATATATATATGTCTCTCTCTCTCTCTCTTCTTAAAGAGGGAGGGGGGGGGGGGGTTGTCGTGACCCTAAGTCTCCTTCGAACTTTTATTGGCTCGACTGAACATTATTAAGTATGTCTTGCATTAACGAGAAAATAAAAATTGTTTAGTGGTGAACTGAATAGAAAAGATTAATGGTAATTATATTATCTCTACTCATTCCATCATTTGTTTCTATTTATAATGAAGCATATCAACTGAAAAGACTTTCACTTTGTATTTCGCCTTGTTTCAGTGTTCCGTCAGCCAATCCTACAGACCCAGAGTCAGTATGGCAGCCGTACGACCCACTCCGATACAACGCCCTCCACCTCGATGTCTGTCCGACACAGGCACCCATTCCCCGCGCCGAGGAGAAAGACATCTTCTGGTTCACCGTCATCGCTGGCTTGAAGGAGAAGCTCATCGACGACGACGAACCGACATCGACACCGACATCGACCCCAGCATCGACCACGTGTTCGGTTGACAGTTACATTGGATTTGATCTGACGTCAGAACAAGCAGGGCGCGTGATCGGTGCTCTAACCATCACCCTCGGGATCATCGCAGGCTTGATATTCTTTGCTATCTTCATGAAACTCTGCTTGAATATTCGTCGCTCTGACAATAAACCAGTTTAATTGGTAGAATATCTTTTTTATTGCGACGACTAGCGAATTCATAATCAGATTTTGTATTTAATTTGCTCATGTATTTCCAATATTGATTTGACATAATTATAAACATACACACGCAAAAAAAAGATCGATACAATTTAAATAATGAAACCAAAAAATATTAAAAGAAAGAAAAGGGAAAACAAATATACTTGTCATGAGGGCTGTGTGTCTGGACGCTTAACAAAAAATAAGGAAATAAACGAAATTAAAAAATATATATTTGCAAAAGGGAATTTAAAGGAAAATAGCAAATTGCAAAATCGTAGTTATCCCTGGTTACACACATAGTCGCACAATCACTATGTATCATATTATCGTCTATACAACATTCCCCTCGCATGTTGTTCTTCGTATCTCCGCTCATAGATATCGATATATTAAATTTATAATTATTACAACATGTGTGTATTACCATAAGTTATTGGGTCCCTTCTTCAACAATTAAAAAAAAAAAAAAATGCCTTTTTCTATTTTACTTTAATTTAAAAAAAAAAATCTCATATCCGTCTAGCATCAGATCAAAGTAATTCCATATATTAGTATACAAATAATACACAGCAGTGAGGGCATTAGTAAGAATTACCAACAAGGTACCTTTGAGACAGTCTAACACGCCCGATAGCCGAGGGTGTTAGGACTGTTTGAAGGTACTGAGTGTGGGTAATTTTTTTTTTTTTTTTTTTACTAATGCCCAATCAAAATGATGTTTATTATTTGTTTTATAAGGTTATGTTTAATTTGTTTTATAAAATGATGTTTTATAACATGATTTTACTAATGACCGGTCATTATCAAAATTACGCGTTAGGCAAAATAATTGCCTGGTTACATTTACGCTCATAATTCATTTGATTAGGATCCACGTCATCATCTTTAATATAAAACATGAACAAAATTTTTTTATCATTACCGTAGGACCCATTTCAGGATTTTGAATTAAAATTATTCACTTTTCAATAGAATATGTTGAAGAATTCTAGATTATTTTTCTTGATTGTTTTGTCTCCTCTGTTCATGAAGACAATTTTACAATTTCCTCAAAATCGGCATTCAAGTATCATATTGGACCGAATTTGGCAGATGAATTGCCCAATACAGATGTAGCATATGGTAATTTTTTTGGGCAGAATATAGAGCAATCGTTATTTTGGAAACCAATAACTGCAGTTGAAGTTAAGAGTCAAGTTCTGCTACTTGATACCAAAAAGGATTGTGGTCACGATAACATTCCAGTGCAATTAATTAGAGATAGTGCTCCATATATTTCACATCCACTGGCATATATATTTAATTTGTCATTAGAAACTGGCAAGGTTCCAGATGAAATAAATATTGCAAAGGTTACTCCCCTACACTAAAAAGGGCCAAGAGAAGATCCAGGTAATTATAGACCAATATCGGTTTTACCTGTCATCGGTAAAGTTTTAGAAAAATTGATAAATATCAGATTAGTACAATTTCTAGAAATAAATGATTTATTCTATTACCATCAATACGGATTCCGAAAGAAATATAGCACTAAGTTGTCTTTGATCAACTTGATGAATTCAACCTTGAAATCTATAGATCAGGGAAAAGTAACTCTGGGTATGTTCATTGACTTTAAAAAAGCATTTGACACAATTAATCATAATATATTACTAGGTAAACTATCTAGTTATGGCATTCGAGGGTTACCTCTAGAATGGGTCAAGGATTATCTCAGTAACCGATATCAGTTTCTCCAGTGTGGTCAAACGTTATCAGAAAGGAAAAAGATAAGATGTGGTGTTCCACAAGGATTAGTATTAGGGCCAACTCTGTTTTGAATTTATATAAACTGTTACTGATTATTTCAACTTTCGGCTGTTTGCCGATGACTCCAATCTATTTCATACTTTTTCTGCTGACCAGGGTGAAATTATGTAAATGAAGTGAATAACAACATACAGAAGATACATAAGTGGTGCACTGCTAACAAACTTACAATTAATTCAATAAAAACTAATTTCATGTTAATATGTAGTAGGAGGAAAAAAATAGGTATAAATGGTAAACTAAAAATCGCTGGCGAGGAAATTAAAGAGGTTGATGTTGCCACTTTTGTCGGGGTTCACATTGATAGACATTTGTCGTGGAAGAGTCATATTCGTTTTATAAATCAGTGTATTAGAAAGAAAGTTGGAGTGCTATTTAGATTGCGACATTTTGTTCCTAGCCGTACTTTGATATTATTATATAAAGCATTTATACAACCACACATTTCTTACGGAATAGAGGTGTGGGCAAGCACTTATAAGACTAGCCTAAGAAGTATATGATATTCACAGAAAATGGCAGTTCGTGCCATAACATTTAGTGAATGGAGAACTTCTTCAGATCCATTATTTAAAAGCTTGCGAATTCTAAATGTGTATAATTTACATGAGTTATCAATTTCTACTTTCATGTTTGATCTAGTCAACGGCAATTTGCCTCATATTTTGATAGAGTACTGTGACATTATAGAACATAGCTATTCCACAAGACAAAAAGAAAATGGACAATTACGTCTTCCAAAATTAAGAACGACACAAGGTCAATTTTCATTGTCTTTTGTGGGCAGTGAATTTTGAAATAGATTACCTGTTGATGTTAGATTGACAAGTCTAGAAATAGGTTTCGGAATTATGTTACAAGTCATTTGTTGAATAAGTCATGAATGGAATATCAAGTGTACACAATTCATAATTCATATTTGACATTATTAGTTTGTATATTGTAAGACATTGTTGAGTACTGATTCTTGTTTTTTTTAAGTATCGATTGTAAAAGTAAATTCATTATTTTTGTTTTGTTGCGTCCTCTAAACTGATTTGTACCAAAATACTTTGTTTTAATAGCTGTTTAAGGGGTTAGGCTCGACTAGCACATGTGCTATTATCTGGCCCCTTTTACCAACCAATAGTTTCTCTTCCTGTATATGTAATTATTGTATAAAATGTATGGAATGTATTACTGTTGGTAAATAAATCAAATCAAAATTTGTATCAACTTAATCAAAATACTAGATGCCGATAGTAGATAGTGCTATCAATTACGGACAAACCTTTAAAAGTTTTTCTTTTCTTTTTATGCAAATGATAAGTTTCTATGCCTTTTCAAACTAAAATAAATATAAGTAATGATTTACTCATTAATTGCATGTGTGGATTGTCCTTTGGTACGTTAGGTGAACTGTGAACCCAATTTCATAAAGGTTTGTTCAGACATGGCGCAGTTTGCATTGGTTTATTACTAATTTCAAACATGATATCTCTTAGACTAAATAGAATATTTAAAATGACCATCGAGTTTATTTCTTGAAGGTCTTTGCTATCATTTTTAATACAGTGTGAGTCCAAAAAAAGTTTACACCTAGAAAATTGTTAATTATTAAAAAAAAAAAAATCATCTATGTATAGTAAATTATTATACATCTTATGAAAGAGTGTTATATCCCAATTTCATTTGGTATAATTTTTGTGGAGTATATGTTCACGCTTGGATGAACAGGAGGCATTGTTTGCGAGAGTGCAAAAATCGACTTGCGCCAAAGTTGCTTATGTGATGTTTGAATAAAACAATTGGGATTTGGGTATTATTCGGTCTTTGCAGATCCAAGTAACATCCCTAACAAAATTAATCATGCCACACATATCAAATATCAACGACCATTTGTGCGTGCGTGTGTGTGTGTGTGTAACTTTGTTTCTGCAAAAAGCATATGCAATGCATTTTATTTGATACATTAAATTTATTCTATCATTCCGATAATCCCAACATAATATATACTGTAGGCATCACTTTGGCAAACAATGCCTCCTGTCCATCCAAACTTCAGCATATACCACACAAAAATGATACCAAATGATTTGGGATTAAACACTCTTTTATAAGATGTATAATAAGTTACCGTTCATAGATGATTTTAAAAATAATTAGCAATTTTCTGGGTGTAAACTTTTTTTTGGCTCACACGGTATACGCCTAAATACAACAAATAATTGTACTTTCATGCCACACAAAATACATCACCGTATTTCTTTGAGTTTCTCACACAAGTTTATTGACATATTTCAAGGTTCAACAAGGTACGAAGGCAGCAATAATAACGCACGTTCATACTACACGTAATAATATCAATTCTTCAAAACAAATTGTGCAGGTGAAGTTTGAGCGTTACTAACTCTCTTGTTACTTTATTATCATACAATAGTTGATGTTGGCATCATTGAAAACCTGTTTATTTCCTTTTACAATGATGCCCAATTTGTAATCATTATTGTAATCATGGAATGTGCTGTCTAACTGAATATGGGTGCAAGTCAAAAGTGAATTTTTCAAGATGCATTATAATTGTCAACAGTGAATACTTCATTGATTGGATGATTGATTGTGTTTTGAATGATGTCGAGGCGGCCACTGTTGACGATTACAATGCATTTTAGCAAATTTCGAGTCTGACCGGGTTCCGTATTCAGGGGTCCATAATTCACTACAAATAAGGCATTATTGTAAGGGAGAATAAAGAAGCTTTTCAATGATACCTAAGTCAAGTACAGAGTATGACTATACATGCACACAGTAACTAGAAATGACGAGAGATATCAATGCTCAAACTTGAATTGCATACCTATTTCAGAAGAGTGTATAATTATATTCATACTATTTGGAATAAGTTTTATGACAAGCCAGTCCAATGTATGTCCCAAACATTATAAAGAATTATTGATTCATTTTGAAGGAATTTTGAACATATATTTTCATAAAGATATAATGTCACATGATGTTTTACTGATTCAAGCTCTAACCATGGCTATCAGCTTGGTACAGTCATCAGAACTGAAATCTGAGATGTGGACGGGAATGTTTGGGTCAATAATGTTTGGGACAAAATAATTTGATCTTGCCAACATATATCCAAAAAGTGCAATGTATAAGTATAAATCAGTGACAGTTCCATGACCTTAGGTTCAGACACCTTCCTCAAAAATGTTATAGGTATTAGCATTTGTAGGCGACATGGCTCAGAAGTAGAACAGTGGTCTCGTTACTGGGAGTTCTCAGGTTCAAAACTAAGTTTATGTTCTAGTGCCCTTTGTTATGGCTATATAATCTTCATTACCAAGTCCGTTAGAGAGAGCTTACGGTTGTCAGTCCCCTGGTTGCTTTTGTACAAGTATACACATATGCTTTATTGGCAGCTGGGTAAAGTCAAAGTATCAAATTAAACCAAGTCATAAAACTTATTCCTAATAATTTAAACCATCCTAATAAACAATATATATCAATATACATTTACCACTTAATCACTTCTATTTCTACATGAGATATCATAAATATTAATTTCTATATACTATATTGTATTAACAGAAACTACATTTATACTCAAAGAGCACAGGGGTTTCACAAATGACCCTGTTTCAGTTTGGCAACATTCTGACTTCACCAAAACATTCAATCTCTAAACAAGTTCCACAATTCTATGAAGAGTAAGTGATTGATATTTCACATCCTATATAAGACGATAGAGGAGTTGCATGTAATAGTTGAGTATAATGAATAAAAATGCATGCTGATTTAGTGATCACTAAAAAGGCACAGAAAAGCTTTAAATTGAATTAAATCACAAAGAATTAAGGAACAAATTAAATGGGAATGCATTTGTGACCCTCCTTTGCAATGAGCTGCATAATATTGTGTGAAAGTCACCATTAGAAACACTGAGTATGTCAGCAGCAGTATAATAAAGGCATTAGCTCCGTTTTATTATATATTATTATCATTATTAGCCCATTGTCTATTGGAACTGTGTAATGCCTATACTAAACCTTTGGTGATGACAGAGTTTAGTAACTCATTCGGTTAATTTTGACTCCGATGGCTCTCAGAATGAAAACAGTTTACATAATACCATACAATTCCTTCTTCAACACATTAGGGTGCTTTAGCAATGCGACGGAAGCAAGAATTCACTCAACTGAAATCGTCCTGTACTATGCTCCAGTCTTCATTTGTGACCTGTATGGAGCGCTTCCGCAAATACGTCGGAAGGCAGAGGCGAGGGTAACCGAGCAAAATAATCAATCTGCGCATGTGCGAACCTGAATATTCTCCGTCTTGTTGATTTTCACGACAGTTCTCAGCCATAATAGCGTTCGTTCCCTAAACTCGACGGGAGATTTGTATCGCCGTACCATAGGCCATTTTCATAATGTAATAATAATAATAATAATATTGGATTCTTATATAGTGCACGTATTGACCTTGCAAGGTCTTCAAGGCGCTCCAACATTACCTGGCTATGCTAGGCTGCTGAATTTAATGCATAAGTCTTTGTGAAGTGCCTCAATACAAATTATTTCATTCACCTGATAAGAATAATAGTATTTCAAAAGACAGAATCCGAACTGCACACATTATTTGATCTCGGTTGGGTGAATTCTCCCTTCCTCTTTGCCTTCCGTCACGTTGTTAAAGCGCCCTACTTACATATCTAAAGACACTGGTAAATATGAAATATAATCCATTATCGAATGTTGACAATGAAAAGGGAACAATGGTCCGATAGATCAGTTTTGTTTGCATGCCCGCAGGGAAGTTTGAGTCATTAAATAGAAAATACTTTGTAATACCAGAGCAGCTATAAAGACTGAATAGATTCTTAACATTGTCAAAAGACCGATCACTGTGCTGGTTTGTATCCTTTGATAGAAAGTACCTAGTAATATCAAAGAAGCTTGTGAAAACTGAAAAGACTGAGCACTGACTGTGCTGGTGTGTGCCATATGAAAAGTTCCAAAGGTGCTGTTAAAACCAGTTTAATCTCTTGCTTGCTCATAAATATAAATTTTTTCAATAGAAAATACCTTGTAATATAAAAATACCTTGTACTATATAATGTAATATGAAAAAAGAACACTGGTAACAATGAAATATAATCCATATTCAAATGTAGACAATGAAAAAGGAACAATGGTTCAATAGGACGGCTTTGTTTGCATGTTGCAGGAAGTACATTAATATCAAGCTAGCTTTTGACAAGGAATAAATTCTTGAAGATGAAGTTGAGTTCTGCTCATGCAATTGCAAGCTTTTCAGTCAAGGGAAACCTTTGTTCAAAAAGTATGCACAAATTTAGTAAATGGGTGCATTCACTTGAACCAGACTTAGTAGAATTAACAATTAATGTGTGAAAACAATTGATATCGCACACAGCAAAAGTAGGCAAATCACTTGAGCTTGGTCAGTCTCAGAGAGCATGTGGGGGAGGACCGATGGCAATGAGCCTTTCTAACATTTTTCAAAGATAGGAATGTATTTTTCAAGGGAACAGCTGATCACATTATGTACTTCAAATTGGCAAGAATAATATTTTTCTTTTAGTTTGTTCTAATAAAAGTTAATGACCCATATTCTGAAGTCAGGTTTAGTTAAGCCCATGTTTAACTTTGAACCCGGGTTTAACTAAGCCAGACTTCAGGTCTAAGTATCATTTCAGTTTCTGAAAGCCAGGCTTAAAGTTAAACCTGACTTCAGAATACAGGCCAATGTCTTTAAAAACAATGTACATGGGTAGCAACTTTTTTCAAAAAGCTGACAAAATTGCAAATCTTGATCGAAAAACAAATAATTTTGAACCCTTTAATGTGTTGCCAATTTAAGTATCTTATTCTTAAAGCTAATTTTCCTTCTTAAAATACTTTGCATCGAATGCGATATGATCATTCAACAAAAATAAACAGCTGTGTGCAGAATTGTTTGCCCTTTCTATGCACACATGTGGTATGATTTTTTAGGGCTCAGAAGCAAGTTATTGAGCCAAACAAGAAAATGTGAAATGATTGTCTTGAAAGGTTCAAAGGTCATGACTTCAGGAGTTCACTGGAAGGTGTACATTGCTTAAGATTGTCAGCTGTAACAGTGAAGTCCACTGTCAGTGATTGATAAACTCTGAGAACCCAAGGTTACGTGACTTAACCAACCCTGTAACATGTTGAGTTAATTCCCTTCTGGCTTTCTGCAGATGAAGTGTAACTCTTGTTCATATAGACATATAAATTTAAACTCATATCTTTCTACACACGGTGAATGCCCTTCTGGATCAAAACAGATGACATTGTTTATTAAAGGGATTGGGTAACTTTGTCTCAGATTCTGAAACAAAATTCTGGATTTAGCTCATGCTGCAAGGATAATTATGAACCTTCAGGTCAGTCAGGAACCACGGACCTAAGTCCATGCAGGAACCCCATGACTTTTACAAGCCGATCGCCTGTCTAATTATCAAGATATTTATGATTGAAATTACAAATTTTGAAAAGCGTTTGCCTAACGGTTTTCATAACATTACAGTCTATTGGGGAAAACGAGTATGGTAAAACCAGTCACTCCAAGATTTTAACTTTTTGAAGCACTTCTTGATTATTTTGAAGCGCAATTTTTTTAGGGCTTCAATATTACACCATATCACAAGCACTGATAACATGTAGGGCCGTGTATCTCAGATTTAATATTGTTAAACGAGAACCATGATATTAGAAAGTAACAAAAATTGCACTTGCAGATAGATATGAAATAGGGCATTTTTTATCTGAAAAGGTGTCACATGACACTGAACAATTTGTTATATATGCACTTGCGTGGAAAAGTGAATCAGACAGTGTGCCTCTCTTCCCTGCTCGTACCCACTGTTTGCATTGTCTTAGCTACACACATCTGACGCAAAGGCAATGTAAATGTAGTTGAGGGGCCCAACTCTAAAGGATCAAGAGTATTTCAGTTACATGCAATTATTGCATGCATTTTGTCGTCCAATATAACATGTAGTCACCTCCAAATTAAGAATTTCCCTTGTGCCATTATCTCCCAACCCGGCCTTTTGCTTTGGAGAAGAAAAAAACATCACTTCAGAAACTCTGAATTTGCCAGTTTGCATATTTTGTAATAATTAACGCCAGAGCATGCAATATTTGTATCATATGAAATCTTGACTGAGCCTTCTCTGAATGGTCATACGAATGGGAAAGTTGAAAATTGAGGCATTTCTTAGCAAAAAAATTCATTAAAAAACGATTACTAAAATATGAAAGACAATTTTTCAGAATCAAAATGTCTAGTTATCTAATTATACATGTAGAAAAGAACATCCAATACCAAATAGTGAAGAAATATAAATCTCTCCTATAATAACAATATCTTAATATGAGAATAGATATGTATATGTATATATATATATATATATATATATATATATATATATATATAAAATGACACTTTAACAAAGAAATTACAACAAAACTGTTTTTTTTTAGTACTGACCACTTACAATACAGCTAATAACTAAACTCACCTTGCTAAAATTATCATGTCAGTTTACGGTGCAATAATACAAAATAAAAACATTCAAATACTAATTCATGAGGGAAGAGAATCTCTCCCAAACGAGCGAGTGTTTGAACTCTAGTATTTGGTGTCTGAAAAGATTACAGGACTGCTGGTATTGGAATGTATAATTCTGTTTCATACCTGTCAAGCTTTCAAGGCTATAAGTATGAATTGCTCTAGGCAAAATTAAGAATATAGTCTGTACTTTTTATGTTTTTACACAGATATCTACTGCAAGGTTACATTCAAAAAAATGTATTTAGAAGGCTGAAAATAGGAATCATTTTCCCCCCAAGTAAGAAGGCTATACAGCTATGTATGAGGCATTTTGCTCCTTACTTTTTCATGAAAATATCCTTGATGATTAATTCTTCTCATGGTTTCTATGGTAGCTAAAGATTTATTTGCACTGCCCTATAAGTGTTGGTCACTATTGAGAGTTGATGGCCCAGTTGTACTTCATATAAGAGACCTTGTAATCCTTTTGACTTATGACCTGCAGGAATGATGTCTTCTTCTCACCCGGCCCCATGTGATTGGATATGAACACAGCAACCTGTTGGAGAAATAACAGATGTTAGAAGTAGGCTTGGCTTAATTTTGAGGTTTGAGCAAGAGCATTGATATGCTAAACATGAGAAATGAAAGTAACGATTATTAAAGATTTCCTTAAAGATAAAGGCGAGTTCTGGTAAAAAAAAGAAAATGAATTCTCTCAGAATCAAACAAAACTTACACTGAATGTTCAAGACTACAAATAAATGTCATTTGCCAAACAATTTTGGTAGAAAGTGTGTACTGGCTGAGTAATGAGCATAGAAAGATTAGGAAATCAAGGTTAGTAGCCCGACACCATTTGCGTAGTCCCATATACATCTTTCTGTGTACAGTGCTTGTTACTTTACCAAGACTGGGCCAAATTTATTATGATTTTGATGACTCCAGAACTTTGCAGTACACACCAATACTTACATGCTACATGATCTACTGTTTTTGATCCATTCCACACCCTTTCTTTCAAAATGCAATTGGATGACCAGAACTATCCTTAATCTTTAAATTTTAATGTGAACAGAGATAAATAAACAGGGAACAACTGATACATGTATGAGAGTAACAAAGTACATGTAGGTAGGACAGAGGGCTTGATTTGGGTTTCACAAGACGATGCATGTCAGAGTGACATCAGACAGGTACTGTAGGTTTGTGTTAAAATTGGATATGAACAGAGCTATTTGCGAACTTGACCAAAACCAGAACTGAATTTTGCCTACAATATGCATATAAATATTAATAATAGTACTAGTAGTAGTTCAAGGAATTCATTCCTAAATGGTATCCATTTACATCCTCTGGGGCGAGCATGGCAAATGTAGATTAATGTCTCCCCAAAGGACATTAGTGCCTCGCCGGGAATCGAACCGCGAACCATGTGATCCACAGTCCAATGACATATCCACCAGACCACAACACCTTTAAACTGAAATGAAATATTATCTTACGTCTTTATCATTCTTGCCAAAGTCCTCTCTGTACCACTTGAAGATCTGACTACATTTGACTTCCTTCTTGTCAGCGTTGACCTGGCAGCCATCAGAACCCTCCAGGAAAGCTTCCGCTGCTAACTTCAACTCGTTCATGACATCCTAGGAGAAAAGCACAAGATGATGTTTGTAGTTGATTCTGAGGAAGCGGAAATCATGGCTGCATGTGGGATCAATCTTGAAGATGCTGGTACCTTTGCTTTCTTATATGCCTATATTTGCTCTCCTTTTAAAATTATGTCTGGTTAATAGATACCATAACCCCATCAACCAAACAAGATGAATACGACTGCGTCTCTCAAATACCTCCGCTTATATGTATGTTCATTGATCAATGACCCTGTTACCCTAAACATCAAGGCTCATATTAATAAGACCTTACAAAGCCTAGTTGTCACCTGACTATGTACTGTTACCTATGTCATTAGTTCACAACTAGCTTAGTTATTATAAATATGGCCGTGATGTCACAAACCCAAACTCTTTTCATTTAATTTTTTTCGTGCTCATAAATACTCGAGCACAATTTGGTTGACATGAGTTCAAGATTTGTCATCACCTTAAAACCTGTCTGCACTAGTTTGGCCAGGAGGGATTAGACCTCCCTGCATGGTCAATCAACAGGAGAGAAAGGGGATCATGGGGGACCAACGGTACCGCTAAGGTGCATTGTTTGCAATATATAGGGCGCAAGTAGCTACAAGTAGTTCTGGCAGGCACTTTTCATGTTTTCATGACTTCAAGTGTTTCCAATGCTCACCTTGCCCGAGTAGGTCTTGATGGGTGGACAGCTCTTTGCCCCACAGACCAGTGCAAAGTGAATGAGCGGCTCAGGCTGGTCTAGCGCCACCACGAGGCGGAGGTCACTCTTCGAGAAAGGCTTGGAGAGGGAGCCAATCGGCTTCCTGTTTGCCCTCAGAACACCGTTCTCAATGTCGTTGAGAGAATATAGTTGACCACCAATAATGTAGCTCACATAGTTGAAGAACTGAAAAGGCACAGAGATGAAGTTTATTAAGGAGAAATCAACTTCAGTTGCATATAATAGCAGAGTAGTTCTCTTTATCTGTGCTTTATTAGGAATCAGCTGCTTTAGCTTGGCAGCCAATACATACATGTAGCACCCACAGAAATTGAGCATCTTCGTAACAGAACCCAGATGCCATATCTGGGCCCTGTTTCATAAAAACAAAAAACAAGTTACAATAACTGTTATAAGCTTCAGAAATTGTGGCATTTGATTGGCAGAGAGCAAATTTTGTCTTAGATATCTAGCATTAGTTATTGATAGCAAGTTTTATGAATCAGAGCCCTTGGCCCCGTAACACAAAGCTTAGCAATAGATTGTACTTTTGGAGGTGGTGTACAGCATCATATGGAATGATGTTTCACCTTTCGTTTGCTTCCCTCGCCTCTCTGCAGGGTCTCTCATTTGCTACACATACAATTTGGGGTTGAACCCCCCCCCCCTCAATTTTTTCTTTAATAAAGAAAGAAAGAAAGACAAAAAAAAAGTTTTTAATTTGTGTGTGCAAAAGGGTGGCCCTAAAGAATGACCTTACCCCCCCCCCCTTAAAAAAATCCTGCGTACGCCACTGACAGGGAGATTATTTGAGTGGCATAACAAGAGTTCATAAATCGCATGACCTTTCATGACCTTTGAACTCTAACCTTGTATCTCTGCCAGAGGTTGGTTGGGGCTCCTACAGCCACGTAGCCATGGATGACAAGGGCATTGTAGATGTTGATGAAGAAAGCAATCTTCTCTTCCCTTGTGGCTGACTTGATATCCACTCGGTAAAGCTGTGCCGTCATCCGCGTGTACATCTTGAATTGTGAGCTCTCCGCAATGCCCTTGTAATTCACACTCTGGCAGGCAAAGTGAGAGGGAGGGAGAGATCAAAAGGAGGGATAAGGAGGGAAAAAGGGATCAGAGGTAGAGAGAGAGAGAGAGAAATTTTATTTTATTTTCACTCATACATGTATAAAAACAGTGACTAAGGATTACATTCAAGGCATACATGTAAAATAAGGTTCAAAGGAATCAAAATATATGTATTACATCTGTTTGGAGTCTGGAGGGTGTTCAAGCATTTCACAGAAATAGCTTCACAAAAACATTTCTTCAATCTAGAAATTGCAAACCCAAATAATGAATGTGATATTTCAATGTAGCAGCAAATAAATGAAAAAGTCTTGATAGAAAATTATATTTGAAGACTACATTTTGATGATTTTGAATCTTTAGCATATTATGTGGTATCTATCATTAAAGTGTACCAATAAAAAAAATCTATTCATTAGAATTAGGGGTTCTGTGTACTATATTCAAAATATGAGCTTGAAATACTACCGGTGCTTCTATGAAGGGATACTACCTTGTTTGGTGTTCAACAATAAGGGATAGAGCAACGTCGATCTGGCGCTGCTCAGTGGCTGCCGGGCTCACGATAAATTGGGCAAAAAGAATTTCCGTTTCGGTTTAATAAAATTTGGAGTGGACTATTAGGCTATTATTATTACAATATACTCTAAATTATTAACAGAAAAGTATGATAACAGCCACTTGTGAGTAAACTACTAGGCGCACCTGTATGAACTTGCAAGGAATATACATGTAGCTCACACGCAACTCAAGAACAACTTTGGTTCCATGTACATGTATGCTGGTTTTATATTATTGTTTTTTCCTCTTTGTTGGCATATGGAATGCCGGGTAATGTCTTTTTAAATTGATTTCTTACATTTTAGCTGTAAAGAAAAAAAAAGGTTTTTAGGCGATTGGTAGAATTTAAATCTTTGGTTTATTCAAATATTCTCACCTTCCCATCTGGAGTAAGAAAGTCATTGTAGAGGGATAAGATGAGCTTCCTCAAATCTTCACCAAGATCTGAAGCTGAAACAAAATAGAAAAGTACAATAAATCCAAACAATTTATCAATATGCAATTATTTATTTAACTATTTCTGTTATAAGCTACTTCTTTTATGTCTCCACTCATCTCCACTTCCCATTTATTTACAAACAACCCAAACAAACAAACAAACAAGAATCATCGCTTCATGTATGAATGTGCCACAAAGGATCACTTTTGTTTCTGCTGAAGCCAAAGAACATAGAGTTTGGGCCCTGTTTTATCATGAATCTAGATTGTGGATCGAGATTGTGGAATGGTCTTCCCCAAATCCTTCACTCTTGTCACCAGTTATCCACTTTCAGAACTCAACTTAAGACATACCTATTTCAGATTGCTTACAATTAGTCACTGTTGTTTTGTCTTTCCCAGTGAGAATCATGAACAGACATTTTTGGTAGTTTTTCAGTCTCATCAGTGCCTTTGATTAGGCAACTAGATATTGGCGCTCTATAAATTCCTGGATTGGATTGGACTTCGGATAATACTTGTTATCAATAAAAAATGCTAAATTTCTAGGCCCAATTCGGATGCCATGATTTTAGTAGCTTATAACAGTTATTGTAACTTGTTGTTGACAAGTTTTATGAAACAGGGCCCTGAGGGGCGTTTCACAAAACTTGTCATCAGTGACAAGTGACAGTTTTTTGTTATAAGCTACTGAAATCCTTGCTTCTGATTGGTTAACAGCAGATTTGTCACTGATTTTTGTCATTTGTCATTGAAAAAAAGGCTTTGTGAAACTGATCCCTGGTCTAACTAAAATAAAAGCGAAAATGGGGCTTGGAATAGAAACTTGTACACTTTGCTCTATATACATGCACATCACAACGACTCACCAGGTCTGGCCTCGCATTCACTGGTCAGTCCAGCATTGAGGGCGCTGTTCTGGTCATGTTCTAGCAGCCTGTAGAGGGTGTCATTGTCCTCAAAGCGTCCGTCTCGAGTGGCTTTGACGGCAGCCGCATAACCACGATCCAGGAGATCCTGCCCACTCACGATGCCTGTGGCCCGGTCTGTAGGAGGAATTTAGGAGAGACTGGTTAAACCTGTATATAGAGACCATAGAGGACCGTATAGAGGAAATACAAAATGTAGGCAGGTGGTCTTTATGTACAGGTCATTCAATACATGTTTCAATGTAAATCTCTATTGAAGGGAAACATAAAATATGGTCTATACAGACAGGTGGTCTTTATGAACAGGTGGTCTCTAAAGCAGGTTTGACTGTACTTGAATTCTGCTAAACCCTTTTCCTATTTCCACTTCAGTGACCTTCATAGACAGCTTTGAATGTTCTACTCTTAAAGCCCCACTGTACTACTTATAGCTACTTGCGCCCTCTATAGAGCAAACAATGCCTAATCGGTGACCATTGGTCCCCCATGATCCTCTTTTTCTTATGTTAAGTGAGAGCTGATTTGATGAGATAACCACCTGTCAGTGACATTGCAGGGTGGTCTAATCCCTCCTGTAAAGTGTAAGCTAGTACAGATGGGCTTTAAAGCAATCTGCAAAGAAATCTGCTAAAACCTTACCGTCAAAGGATTTTTCCTTCACTAACCAGTCCACAAACTGATTTGCCTGGAACGTGTTCTTGTGGGTTGTAAGTCCTTTCCTGTGATCCTTGATGATTCCGCTCATCTTAAGATCCCGTATCAACACGGCGTGCTCGTCTAGCTCACAAGTGAAATCCATATCCCCTAAAAAAAATTAAAAAACAGTGAAGAAAAGGTTTAATATGTAGTTTTTGGTACTGTATCTTTTACATACCGTACGAATGTACAGAAGACATGTAACCGCGCAGAATGAAATGAACCCAAAACTGCATGGTTCTTGGCTCATTTAAAGCCATTATGTACTACAAGCACTACTGCGAAATCCCCTCTAGTGCCATCTTAGCTCAACTGTAGCAGTATGGTCCCAAAAACTCCCATCATTTGCTGATTCCCTGGTACATCTGTACTGTTGGTTCCGACTACGAAGTGGAAAATAGGTATTGGGTTACACTGGGGGGGGGGGGGGGGTAGCAGGGCCATAGCCAGAGTTTGATGTTTGGGGGGCACATACATGTAATCGATCAACGTCCTGGGGAGGGGGAGGGGTCTAAAAAAGTTCAACCGATCTTGGAAATTTTTGGGGGGCATGTGCCCCCCAATGAGAATGCTGTGTGAACTTGTGAAGTAGATGTACGGTACTACTACTACAAAATGTAACTGTTACAGTAGGAGTATGAAAAGTAATTTTTGATTCTTACTTAGTCTTACCTATTTTTTCTTTCTTCAATTCGCTAGAATCAGGAACCTTTGGGGCTTCAGGAGGGGATTCATTGTTCTTCACTTCTTCAATCAGGCGATCGAGACCGACTTTATCGGCAAGCTAATATTGGACCAAAAAAAGAAAAAAAGAAATGTGAATTAACAAAATCCAAATAAAAGGACAAGATAAGACAAACTATACACAAGTCAATACAAAACAAAGAAAATATGAATATCTTTGAGCTTTGCTTTTTTTTGATCAATCAGACTTTTCACTTTTGGAGCTCTATCTATCTCTCTCTTTTCTCAATCTTCTTCCTACTGCTTAAATATGCAAAGTAGTGGGCTCTCATTGGGGGGGGGGGGGGGGGGGGGGATTCAGGTGTTTAGCCAGTAACAGGTGTTGTCAATCACCAGGTTTAATCTTCAGTTTGATGAACAGGCCTATGTAATGCTCTGCACTTTACATGCATCCCCCCCCCCCCCCCGAAAAAAAAAAAATAAATAAATAAAGACTAGGGGGGATTTCTTGATGAGAGTACGGGTTGTGTGCAGAGTTGTACACTCATTAATGGTATTTACACCAAAGCATGGTGTCAGAGGCTATGACTTTCTAATGGAAATCTCCCTTTAAAGTTACTGACTTTAGAGGAAGAGAGAGAGAGAGTGAAAGAGAGAGAGTGAAAGAGAGAGAGAGAGTACATGTACATTGTATGTGTGTGTGTTCAGTTTGAAAGTCCAATCGATAGATAAATAAATATACATGTATCTACATGTAGGCTCACTTACCAAAGCCAAGCCAAACCAAGTCAGGACAGAGCAGCACACGTTTAGTCTTTAATAGTTTTATGACTTGGGATTTGTTTTTATCAACTGGTTAGGGCATTAAATGCCCAGAACAATTAAGGCCAGGATGATACTTGATGATAGGTAATTATCACTTACATTTACTACAATTACAAGTAACATTATTTTAAAATAGTATCCATTTTGAGAAAGTTCATGGTCGTATTTTGCTGTGTCTTTCAGAGGAAGGGGATGGAATCGGAAAAAGGGGCGGGGCCCGAATAAAATCCCGGAGGCATCCCAGAAAGGTGTACGTTACCACCGGGGTTAAGGTTTCCACCAACGACAGTCTTATTAAACATCACATAAATACCAGTAAACGGGACTGTTATGAATAAAAAGACGTATAATTTCTAACCCTGGAATATATACTTACTAAAGCCTTTAAATCATCGTAGCCGCCAACATGTTTACTATTAAAGAAGATCTGCGGAACCGTGCTCCTGCCACTTCTTTCTCGGACTTCTTTCCGTACGCTCTCACCATAAGAATCGAGGTTGATGTCGAGAAAAGGCAATTCCAAATCTCGCAACGTCTGTTTCGCTCGCATGCAGAACGGACATCCTACGATGGAATAGACCACAATTTGGCCTTTAAAATCGGAATTACTCATGATAACGCTTGAAATGACCGTATAAATTGAGAATTGAGAGAAGCTATGGAACTTATACAGTTGTCTATCGCCCTCGTTGGTTACTTTTCCTCCGAAACTGAATCTGGACCAACCACTCAACTCAGCTCAGCTCAGCTAGCTCAGCGCTACCTCCGTACGTTTCAGTGCAATGAGCTAGCTAGCTAGGCATGAGCGGTAGCGTAATTTCGCGCGCCACTCAATATATTATATGCACGGCCATGGGGCCAGTTTTAGCACTAGTCCACGCGCACTGCAAGGGGCAGCTAAAAACGTAATACGTTATAAATTTACCGTATGCGGCCATTCATGCCAGGCGCGGATCCAGGATTTCTTAGGGGTGCAGGGTGGGGGCCCACCTTTTTTTCTTTTTGCTCCCGAAAATTTGAAAATCACGCCGGCCGAAACAGGGGGGGGGGGGGGGGACGTACTGAGCAATTTTTGTTTGTTTTTTGGCCCTCGGAAATTTGACAAATTGGCACCCGCACCCCCCCCCCCCCTCTTGAGCGCCAGAGACCCCCGAAAAAGGTAAATTTAACGTGTTTTTACCCTTTTTTTCCCCTTGATCCGCCACTGATACATGCAATGGTAGCTGCGAGCATGAAAATCATAAGTTCCAAACCGGAGTAGCCAATCAGTCGATATTAGTCAAGAAACATTGTTTTATAGCTAAATTAATATCTTGACCTTGAGAGGGAGCTATAAAACATTATGTACAATTTCATTTTACCCAGGTCCCCTCCCCAACATAAGAAAATCCTCTGTACGGCCATGCATTATGACTCAAGGTATGGGCACACAGAAGAATTTTTTCAGTTGGGGACAAGGGGGGGGGGGGTTAAATGAATTATTCAATTCAATTCATTTATTTGTTCCTCTTTCAATCGTTCATATTTACAATGGTGTTACATTTTAACATATTCACATATTTATATACATATAGATCAATTTGCACAATACAATACATTAAAAAAATAAACATTAAATTGAAAGGGAAGGAGGGTCGACTAAAAGGCAGAGCTTGTAGGGCGTAAGCCCCCCCCCCCTGTAAAAGTAATTATTATGAATTATTATTGATAATTGATTTCATTTTCTTTGTTTTTTATTCTATTTGTGGGAACTGCCCCCTACCCTAGCCCCCGCTGCGTACAGTCATGGTTCAGTGGCAAAGCAACGGCCTCGTTACTGTGAGGCCCCAGGATCAAAATGTCGATGTGATATATTAGTGTCCTTTTATGATGCATTAATCCTCATTACTGTCTTTTATGACTTAAGGGCGTAGGTCCCCTAGTTGATAAGCATAGTAACATACACATGCTTTAACAGTCACGCAAAACAAACACCGGCAAATTATTATTCAATAAAATCTGAGAATGTATACTATTATTTAGGTTTATTAGGAATAAATCATTGTCAAAATAATTCCGTAAATTGGGGTAAAAATTTTTTTTCCAACTTTATGAGCAAAGGTGTACATAAATGGGATAATATTGTCAGTGGAACTTGCAGAACCACCAAGAATTTTTGGTAACAAATTTTTTAAACACTGCTGGATACCAGCCCTGCACGGAGGCTGGCTGAGGGTGTGCTCCCTTATGATGAATATTCATGTAGAAACGGTGCTCTCCAAATTAGCAAGTAGTCTTTGAAATGTTGTCTTTTTCGACAGGATGATGGGGGAGGGAGAGGGCAAATTACACAATGATTGAAATAGACCTACTATTCGTCCCTATTTTCACGAAGTGACGGTAGTGAATGAAAATCGCATACACTTTGCGTTACGATTTTCCTCACTACCGTCACTTCGTGAAAACAGGGTTGCGCAAGAGATACAGAATACTCTAATACGTAGGTGCTGAGTGCGAGTTTGATTATAAGGCTCTTTATGGAAATGCCCCCTGTATGCCTCCAAAATGTTCCCTGAATTTCCATGGGAAATATATTCATAGACATTTGAAAAAGCGCCACGGAGGAAAATAAAAATCATATTTGATGGTTGCTGGAAATCAAGTTAATCCTATACTCTCTGGGGAGGGATCAGTCCCTTATCATGTATCTGAGGATAAACTCCCTTGGTTCCTCCTTTCATGGTGAGCTAGAAATGTCCCCATTGGTATCATTACATATTGACTTCGTGTAAGCATGATAGTTGAAGCATAATTGAAGAAGAAAAAAAGTTTGTTATTTTGATTTTGGATTTGAAAAAAACTGTGTTAAAAAAAAGGCAAGATATTAAACGATTAAAAAAAAATTCTTTATGTATTCAAACATGTTCATGTGTATACTGCAAACATTTTGTGAAAATAGGGTACTATACATAAATATTTACCTCGTATGCCATTTTCTACCTGTTTCCGGCAAAAAAGGGGTCATATCTTGTGGATTATTTTGTTACTGTATGCCTAATAGGGGTCCATTTAGACTCTGCTAATATCTTTGAATTTGAAGTGAAATCACCGGGGAATCGTCAGGGCTTTATTTGACCTTGTGTACAAGCATCTCGAGTTCATGTTCAGGGGCGGATCCAGGAATTTTTTACCGGGGGGCACAAAATGACATGGGGTGAAATCAGTATATATATATATTTTTTTTTTTTTTTGGTCCCCCCCCAAAAAAAAAAAAATCGCAGCGACTCAGCCAGCCGCTGAATAAGGGGGGGGGGGGGGGGGGGGGGGGTAAGAGGACAATTTTTTTTTTTTTTTTTTTTTTTGGGGGGGGGGGGGTCCAACAAAAAATCGCAACGACTCAGCCAGTCGCTAAATAAGCGGGGGGGGGGGGGGGGTAAGAGCACATATATATTTTTTGCTCCCGAAACACGTGCCCCCTGTGCCCCCCCCCCCCTGGATCCGTCCCTGCATGTTCCAGGAATTCACATGATATCTTTTCTGGTGTTTAGAACAAAGCGGATAACGCGGCTTTCAAACTAATATCTTTTCCGGTCTTTTCCATTTCCTGAATAACTATGTGATTTGTATAGATTATGTTTGCCTGACTGTACTTCAATATTCATTTGTCGAATAACCAAGGGCACTTCCTGAAGGGAAAGAGTCTTCAGAAATATTTTTAGAATTTAATCCACAATCATTTAAAAAAAACCTATATATTTGTTTGGAAACATCTCATGTTCTCAAGTTCATGTACTGGGAGTTCAAATATTATACTTTCCAGTCTGTTCCATTTCCTGAATAACTGTGTGGTCTATACACAATATGGAACCATATCATTATGTAGAGTACAGTTGACTTATGATGCTCCACTGGTATAACACACCTCCCTGCTTTAACCTTTTGTCTAATAGCAAAGGGCAATTCCACATAGGATACTTTGGTAGAATTTAACCCATAATCAAGGTTTCCTTCTTTTCCCACAAATAATGCATTCATCTTGTGAGCAGAACACAATTTTAACTTAACTGCATTGGTTGAAGCTGTGAAAATTTGGTAAGATGTCTGTTTGCAAGTTGAAACTCAAAATAAGTCAAATTCTTATCTTCTTTTGGATTTCTGTGGGCAAAAAAAATATGTGTTTAACATTGCCTTACGATAACAAGTGTATATATATATATATATACCCAGACCCTGCAATGATTTTGCCAATCATTAGAACATAACGCTAATCTGCACTATACAAAAAAGTGTAGCAAAAATTAATATGCCCATGTGGCATTTTTTTAAATTCACTTACTTGCCTTTCGATCCAAGGGTTAAGGGTTCGAATCACAGACTGGCACAATATAACAGCCTTTTGTAAAGATGTAAATCCAGGTTTGCCACTCTCCACCCAGGTGTAAATAGGTAATTTGCAATTGATGCTGTAATGCAGAAAGAACAGTATTCTACTGATGTGGCTACACTGGGTAAATAAAATCCAATTATCATTATCCAAAAAAGTATTATCATCAGGAAATGTACAAATTTTCAATTTCCTAGCCTCTATTGAAAGGAGTCAACAGTGAATTGTCCATTGGTGTGGAATATGGATGGTGTTTTAAATGATTTTGAGGATTCCATTCCCAAACTATCCCTTTTAAGGGGGGCTACCCAGCTAATACGGTATGCTGGGATGCATCGCTTTAATGAGTTTTAAACATGAGTTGGTATTTAAAACCTCATCCTTATTCTCGCTAAAGTGGAAATCCCAGTTGTAATAATGAAGGAAATCATTTCGCCTTCTCATCCCAATTCCTAGTAATTAATTAGTACCATTTTCTGCCAAAATGACCCTATATTAATTTGGTATTGGCTTCACCCGCACACTCCCGTCCATTCCAAATGTGAGTACCCCCCCCCCCTCCCTCCCTGGTTTAGAAGATTTTTGCTGTTGCTGCTATTCTAGTTTAATCGGTCCATGTCATAACATTTTGAACAGCAACGGTCAATATTGTTGTTATTTTGTAGTTATTATAGTTGTCACGGCGCGTGTCCGTTAATTTCGAATATTTAATCCATGATCAGACGATGCTAAAATTAATGAAGGCTACATCCTTACTTGTGTTTAGAGCAAAGTGGATAACATTCAAACTAGTCTGTATACAAATTTCGATTTTTGTAAACTAAATTTGTAAACTTATGGTTTGCACATGCAGAAAGTTGCTTTAATTATAGTTTAGTCGTTCATTTGACATAGAAGATACATAATAGTCTTGATTTGTTTCTTCTGTAACATCAGTATTAAGCGCCTAATAAATGTTATGTATTATTATTATTATTATAGATTTACCTGCATGGTGAAAGGATATTCATAATATAGATTTTCCTGGCAATTTTTGATAAAACTTCCTTGTATATATCCTAGTTAAAGCTTTCCTGGTATCACTTGCCTTGGATTCGATTCGATTCCAAACAAAAGGAAATAGGCCTACTACCCCCCCCCCCCCCCCCGTTGATATAGCTTACGCGAAGTGTCAAGGTATATTGTTCATTTTAAATGTATATAAATTACAGTATGTGAATGCACTATGGGTATGGGATGTCTATGTCTTTGGCAAGACATTGATCTACATTTGCCACTCTCCACCCAGGTGTTAAATGGGTACCCGGTAGGATGCGAAAGCTAATGTGCTTAGATTAGCAAGTGTGCGCTTGTAAAAATGAGGCCTGGCTGGAATGCTCCCCAGGGAGTGGAGAATGTGCATACATTGTGTGCGGGTAAGCCTTGAATCCGATGACCAGGGTAATAGTATATATATGTGTAAGGCGCTTTGATAGGGCCCTCCTGAAAAAGCGCCATATAAGAAATAGTTATTATGTTGCACTTTTGGTTGGAGTATTTTGGTTCTAAGTTGCATAACCAACCATGGGGTGAAGTAGACCAAAAGCTTCAGTCTCTCTATATCGTCGGTTGGTCCACTGAGACTACGTCTGGCTCCACTAGATTGGGGAATGTCAAAAAATATCAGTTTTATTAAAGAAATGACCCATATCAGACGGTTATTTCTGTCTATGGGTGAAGCGGACGTACACCCCGTCTGCCAGTTTGAATGACCATGACCAAAGAAAATATACCCTTTACAATGGGTCTACAGCACGCCCCTGTTTGAGGACTTGACCCCTGTTATCAACTTGGACACGCCGCTTGTCTCCCACTCTCTCTATTTCCCTCTATCCTACTCTTGTGCATAGAACAAAGCGGGTAACATTTTAAATTAGTCTGTATACAAATTTTCATTTTTGTCAACTACATGTAAACTTATGTTTTGCGCAGAAAGTTGCTTTAAAGTGACTCGGTAACATTGTTGAAGGTTGATGAAAAAAATTGCTTAATTTTTGTATAAAATGTTACTTACTATATTCCTTCTACTATACTAACCGTCTTACATGCAAAAAATCCTGAACAAATTCTCAAACCACAAAGATATCTATGGTTTTCTTTGAAGGCGTCGATGTGAGGCACCCTCTAACAGTGATTAACAGTAAATTCTCCCAACCATTTTTGAATTTTCCCAACTGTTTTTCCATGAGAAAAATACATAAAACAGGCTATAAAAATCTGTCAACACTTAACTGTCTGGAATGGAATGTAGAGCCATTTTATTGCTTTGTGACGATTTCCATTCACCTAAAATGTAATTAAATTGTCCTTGTCTTGATGCTGAACAGGCTTTGACAAGTAGCAGAATAGAAGTAGAATAATATAGTTGGGAGAATTAAGGAATCGATCAGATCAGTTTTTCCCAATCTGTACCATGAATAATAATCCGTTTTCACTCAAATATTCAGATTATCTTTAATTGTACATCTAGCATTGAAGTCACTACCTTAGCACCACTATCTCTCATCTGAACAATGTTACAAAGTCCCTTTAATTATAGTGGTGGTTCATATGACATAAAATATACATAATAGTCTTCATTTTTTCTTCTAAATAGGTTTCCTGGTGAAAGGATATTCATAAAATAGACTTTCCGGGCAAGTTCCGAAAGCACGATCATTCACCTTATGTTGACGAGGGTAAATATCTGTTTCAGTTATGATCTCGAGGGACTTCCTTGTAGCAGCATGAGCTAAATCCGGGATTTTGTTTCAGAATTTGAGACAAAGTTACTCAATCCCTTTAATGCTCTTTAAACTAATAACTTTAAGGCTTTAACGTTTTTTTTACCTGTGTGAAAGCGGAGCAAGTCAATTTTGATACCAGGAAACCTTTAACTATATATGCAATGATAATTATAAACCTTTAGTTAGGTCAGTCAGGAACCCCATGACCTTTTCAAGCCGATCGCCTGTCTGATTATCGAGATATTTATGATTGGAAATCGAAACTTAAAAATTCGTCTTCCTAACGGTTTTCATAACACTACAGTCACTTGGGGAAAAGGAGTTTGGTAAAACCGGTCACTCAAAGACTTTTACTTTTTTGAGGCACTTCATGATCATTTTGAAGCGCATTTTTTTAGGGCTTCAATATTACACCAAATCACAGACACTGATAACACGTGGGGCCATGTATCTCAGATTTAACATTTTAATCATACAGCATCATTCACACACAGACAATTTCGGTGCGATCGTTTCGAGATTCAGTGCTCTTAAATGCGCAGTAGGGCCATTGCGCATATCGTGTGTTTACTACCAGGCAGATTGGCGCCTGCCCTAGCTCCGCCCAGTTAAGGAAGTATATCCGGAATTCACACACAACATTTCCAGGTTTACTCGTGCTAGCTTTACGATATTGTGATGTATTAATTGGCATTGGGCTCCATCCAAGCAATAAATCGTTGGCACTTGACACTATCATTATCTCATCATATCTCGTGAATGTCTGCACGCGGGAATACCTTGGGACGTGATCTTTTTTCTATGTAACCAAAGGGTTATTATACAAGTACCTTTGACGGACGTACTTGTTAATCGCCTAAGAAGAAGCTTAGCACAAGGCACAAAAACTATTACTATAGCCCAAACCAATTCTGTTGAGGAGTTAATACATCATGACGTGGAAGACAATTTTCCTATTATCCATCCTCATGGTATGTTCATTTAATATCATGGTGTCCCCGAGCCAGGAGTTCCGGCCACATAATGAACACGGAATTACAACCGTAACAGGTCACGTCAACGGTACTAAGAGCGATGTGTGTTCTGTGGATTTCCTGAAGAAAACAGCCGATTGCTCAAATAGGCAGCTGAAAGACGTACCCAATAACCTTATCAATGATCTCCGTTCGCTTGATTTGTCGTCAAACTTCATCCGAAGCCTCCGGAATACGTCATTCCTCATGTACTCTCTCTTGGAGAAGTTAGACCTGTCTAACAATCTCATCGGCTTCATGGATTTAGCGACTTTCTTTCCTGTAGACCAGTTGATCAGCTTGTCCCTAGACCATAACCCCATTTTCACCCTTCCCGGAAGTGATATCTTTCAGGAGTCCAAACGGTTGTCGAGTCTGTCCCTTCAATTCTGCAATTTATCATACTTCCCGAATGATACCCTCGGATTCTTACCTCAGCTACAAAGCCTTGATTTAATGGGGAATGAACTAACGTATATCAACATTTCGAAGTGCCCCAAAAGAACACTGACTATGCTAGACTTCAGTTCTAACACATTTCAAGAAATATCAGCTGATGTTCTAAGTCTCCCCTGCAGGACAGACACTCTCTGTCTAGGTGGGAATAGTTTCAGGAAAATTGATGCCGATGTTGTTGCTGATTTTCCCATTCGTGCTTTGGTATTTGAATTTTTAATACCGGGGCCAGGGCAAACATTTGAAGTATGGAAGAATTTGTTTACGGGTATCGCTCATTCTGAGATAGATGAAATTTTTCTGCTGATGGCATTCACCGATGTCCCTCCTGACTTCTTTGACCCATTGCGTGGTAAAAGGCTATCCAATTTAAAGCTGCAACAAAACGAGTTTAAGTGTTACCCGTCCATCTTTGCTAATCTAACCTCCGTTTATAAGATGGAACTGATTAGCTTTCATATAGGAGTTCTGGAGTCTGCTTTCTTTGATGGCATGAAGGAACTTCGAAGCCTTACAGCTACTAACACAAAGATAGAACAAGTCAATCCCTCAGGGTCATCTTGGAAGATTGATCTTTGGGAACTGGATTTGTCAGAGAACAACCTTGGGAATTTGAGTCCATTTGCCTTCAAGGGTCTCACAAATCTTACATTCCTGGACCTGACTAACAACGCTCAGTTAATGGAAACGCCAACTACATCTCTAGCAGGACTTGACAACTTACGAACATTCAATGTATCCCGTACCAGAATAAGTGCACAAATGACCTTACATGCTCCACTTCTGGAAAAATTCGTTTTCACCTTTAGACCATTCGACTGGTGGCGATCTCTATCTGCTTTAATTCCGGGAAAAACATTTCAGTACACGCCACATCTTGACTGCATCGAATTAGATAACTCGTATGTAATATTGAGAGAACTGTGGGATTCATCTGAAAATATATCTTTGTTTCAAGGACTTCGCAATTTAAGGTATCTCGGACTGAAACAAAACAAAATCGGCAGTTTACCGTTTGGGGTTTTTGACAGCCTTTTTAAGTTACAAGTTCTCGATTTGAGTGACTGCGAAATTTCCACGATCGAATCTGGCGCCTTTGCTTCGATAACCTCACTGACCACTCTATCTCTGCAAAATAATAACCTTCAAATACTTCCCTTGCATATCTTCGACAACCTGATTCATTTGAGTACATTTTTTATTGGAAATAACGCATTGTTTTATATCGATAAGGCTTTATTTGCTAAAACGCAAATGATAACTTGGATAGATCTTGCAAGAAATCAGCTGAGCGTTTTCAATCAGACAACATTTTCCCAAATTTCAACCACGCTATCTTCAATCGATCTGTCACAAAATCCCATCGAATGCTCCTGCAAATCACAATGGTTAATCATGTTGCTGCGTGGAGCCATTAATGTTCAGAATGGTAAAGAAACAACGTGCTCATTTTCATCACCGAAACCTTTCGGAGGAGAGGCACTGGAATTCATCCAACCAAACGATCTCTGCACAGCAAATGTCTATGTATACTTTTTAACAGTATTTTTCGTTGTCATTGTGGTTATCGTCGTCGTCATCGTGTACCACTACAGATGGCAACTAAGTCACAAACTTTTCCTTCTCCGACTCGCCATTTTGGGCTACATAGAAATCATGGACGAAAACGATCGCGAGGATTACGATTCTGATGTCTGCATCATATCGGCACGGGGTAATGATGAGAATTGGATTCAGGACAAACTGAAACCCTTTTTGCAGAGATTCTTGCCGCACTACAAGCGAATCATAAACGTCTTCGAGGATAATGATCTTCCCCTTGGCATGCATCGCACGGATGCCATAGATCACGTCTTGACAAGAAGCTATAAGATTCTTGTATTACTGAGTAATGCTGCCTGCGTTGATTACTGGTTTCTGAAATATTTCCGTATGGCAATAGATCAAGTGGACGAGACCCAGACAGAGAACATGGTAGTGGTGTTCCTGGAGAACATTGAAGAAGATAAGATACCATATGATGTGAGAAAGTACATGGGAGGCCAAGGGCCATTTGTAGAATGGATGGAAGATGATGAGGAGGGACAAACATACTTTTGGAAACGTTTGGAGAAATATCTGTCTGTAAACCGTAAGCGTAACCATCTTATACCTGCATAATGAGAGTTGCCTAGTCTACCTTTATCCTGCGCTATTCTCTCTATCTCTTTTTACCTCTTCCCCTGTTTTCGTTATTTCTAGGCCCTCACCCCCTAAACCCTTTTTGGCGAGGGGGGGGGGGGGTGGGGGTGAAAGCGTGATGAAAATTCGAATAGGGCTATCGTCATTCACTTTCAAGAAGACGACCTTTGCCTAAGGCGTCGCCCATCTGCGACAGGAGAAAGGCATTTTCAAGAAAAAAGCGTCTAAATTTGATTATCCTATCAACAATCTAAGATTACTAAACCAATGGGTTCGATTAGGATTAAATAATCACTAAGGGTCCAGGAAAATATTTAATTCATTCAAAGGTGGCATATTTTACAAGTTACAAATCACGGTAACAGAATGAAAAAAAAAACGTAATTCAGTTACCGTATGATAATAATCACGGTAACGGTTTAAAAAAAAAGAGGCAGGTTAGAAAAGATGAAATTCTTCATGGACAATAGTTCAATTAAAGGCTATAATGGCCCAGTAGCGCATGCATCTTGGCCAACGCCCACATAGCACGTCTAACATATAGTGAAGATTATCGAGACGGCACGTGGCTATTTTGTATATTAAAGTTGACAGAAAATAAATTTCTAAATAGTGTTTGCTATTGCGATAAACAAAAATGGAAACATGCAATTGTATATTACCTAATAACGAAACCTTCCTTATAATTTAATGAATATCGTAAGCAACATTGTAACCTGAATTCGTTAAAATGAGTATGGGCAAATCACCCTTCCAAGCTTTAATGGTAGGGCCTATACAATTAATTGGTTTATTCATTTGAAATACATGTACACTGTCTATATAACAACAAATGGATGCATTGCATTGCTGAAAGCTCTAAAAGTATCACATTGTAAGGACAAACCTCAAGACAACAAAGTGAGAGTTTGTATGTAAACCATTTGCAACCTTGTTTTCTCTAACTAGTTGCTTGTTAAGGATTATATTGAAACTTTCGACATAACTTAATATTACCTGTACATGTTTCGGACTGGAAAAGACAATGAATGCGTAAAACTTTGAATGCGTGATATTGTTATCTGTATTGTAAAATGTTATGCTCATAATATAATTAAATGTATATATTTTACTGAGAATTTAACTTTACAAAGTGAAAAACTCTATGCATTTCGAATTATATAGTTACATCTAATGAATGAATTAAAATTTGTTTGTTTAACTGTATAGATATAATTTATGTTTCTCTGCTTTCACGCTTTAACTGTATTTTTATCAAATGAAATTCTTTTGAACGAAAGAATGACAAATTTGATAACAATAAACACAATATGATTTTATCATGTATCCGACTCTTATGGGCCTATTCTGGTGTTCCACTTTATTCTATGTCTGCAGATGAAATGTTATGATAACAGGAGTTGACGTGTGAATAAGCTACTTGGGCAGGTTTAATATCGACACAGGTTTTAAGATATTCAAATATTATGTGTACATTAATAGAATAAAACTTAATTTCTATTTTACAAAGTTTCACTAGAATGAAGTGTAAAATGTTTAGGATATTCAGCTAAAATTTAATTACTGTTTGAAACCGGTTTTATGAAGATATATCAGACAGAGAAATAGAGCGAGTGAGAGAGAGAGAGAGAGAGAGAGAAATGGAGTATGGGATAAAGACAGAACAGTTGGGGTGCAATAGGCCATAGTTTGACTTACGTTTGGGGGCGCTTGGGGGTTTTAAGAAGGGTCTTGAAAAATTGCATTTTACGCCTTTCCATGATATCTATATGATTTCTTAGCAAATTATTCGTGTTTTTCAAGAGAAAATCTTTCCATCCATATGTAATTTGTTCTAATTATCAGTTGTTAGTGAATTTTCTTTGTGTAGCTCCTTTAAGTAACGCAGTGCGTGCTCAGTACAGTTGCAGTGCAGCTAGAATTTTAAGTCTGTGACGTCAAATCAGCCGCGAGTATATAGCTCCTTCATCATTTTCCGCTCATCTGGTCATCGGAGATGGGGATGCTCAGAGACTCCGGATTAAATATCTTCTGGCCGTTAGTCAACATCAATATGACCTGAACCCGCTTGCCATCGCCCAGTACATCAAAGGCAGACAATGCAGTCTTGTCTGGCTGCTTCTTCCCCCCTTTCTGCCATAATATTTCTTATGGGGCGCATGCTGGAACTGGAACTGGAAATCAGAGCTAGCGGAACTGGTCTGGAGATGTTAAATTTCCGAGGAATCTTGGTGAACTGTGCGTTAACCGAGACACGTCACTTGTATGTACATTGTATTCAAATATCGATCGAAACAATTCCCCGCAGTTTTTCAAGTTGGGGGCATGGCCCGAATAGGGGCGCCTGAAAGAGGCGAGTAGGTAGCATGAAAAGGACTGAAAAAGGACTGAAAAGACCTTTGATAAGTAACATAAGCATATCATCTATTGATGCGTGCTAGCGTAGCTAGCGAGCTTTGGGGGAATCTGCTCTTAGTCGCTTGAAATTAGGGGCACGTTTAATGCTGAGGGGAAAAGGGGACACTTATCAGGAAAGAAAAGGAGCATGTGCCAAAGTACAAAGAGTAATTATCAGAGATGAAAATGGGGCACTTCTTACACCCTCAAAAAGAGGTACTCGCCAGGGATGAAAAAAAGTCAGTCATAGGAATAAGAAATGGGCGTTTGTCGACGGAAAAGGGGCCCCCATTAGATTTTGATAGGGGCATTTATAAGAGGTGAAAGGGGATAGGTCCCTTATTAGAAAGGAAAAGGATCACGTATCATTGTTAAAAGAGAAAATCAGAGGTGAAAAGAGGCACTTATCGCACCTGAAAAGGAGCAATGACCAGATATGAAAAGGGCACTTATGTGAATGAAAAAGGGGCACTTGAAATAAAGGAAAGTTTGCATTATTTAAAAGAAAATGGGCACCGATCAGATTTTAAAGAGGCATTGATCGGAAGTGAAGGGGGCACTTATGTGATGTGAAAAGGAGTAACTTCTCGTCGTGAAAAGGGTCATTTTCCAGAGAAGGGGCACTTATGAGAAGGGAAAGGGGCTTTTTAATGGGGCACTTATCATTAGGAAAAGGGTCACTCATAAGAAAAGAAAAAGGGCACATGTGAAAATACAAGGTGCGCTTATCCGAGTTAAAAGGGGAATAGGTATTAAAAGGGGAAGGGGCACTTCTTATAAAGGAAAAGGGGCACTTGTCAAAGTAAAAGAGGCACCTCTCAGATTTAAATAGAATAATTATCAGAAGTGAAGGGGGCACTTATCAAAAGTGAAAAGAGGCACTTCTCGTACTTATCTAGGGGCACTTACTAGAGATTAAAAAGAGCACTTATGATATATTGCTCCGATTGTCTCGTTTTCGCTCGCTGGAACATTGCCAGCACAAACCACTGACCTCTACCTCCTGGACGGATTATCGCCGATTCCAATTCACTATACGTTACGTACTAAAAGGCTGTATTGTCTGACCGTTCATGAATATTCATGTTTTTGCTTACCTCGGCAAAATGTTTGCTTTTACTAAATGGAAAAATTACGGTGGGGGGTTGGATGAAATGGACATAATGAACCAAGCAGAAGTGATCTATGATAATTCATGCTTCTTATCCTTCGTGTGCTTGACCTATAATCTTAAAATCGCTTGGCAAACCGAGTCCAAAGTTCGTCTTGTTTCACATGTGTATTATAGGCAATGACGAGCTTGCAACCTATTTTGATCAAATTACGGTGAGTGAACTTTCAAAAGTCAATGGGACATGAGGGTTCTAATGAAAGAGCTAGTAATAACGTAAGTCAGGGTGGATGTCCTTTTCGTTTAAACAAAAAATGAATTTTTAACGATTTCTGTTTGTACAATTCCATAGGCTAACATGTATGACTGCTAACTCTGACGGTAGGGGGCGTTGTGAAATGAGACTAAACGGAGAATGGAAAATGGACACTTATCGCAAAGGAAAATGGGAACTTGTCGAAGGAAAATGGACACGTGTCACGGGGCACTTATCAGAGTTGAAAAGGGGAATGGGTACTTTTACAAATTAAAAGGGGCACTTGTCAAAGTAAAAGGGGCCCTATTCCTATATAAGAAGGGGCACTTCTTAAAAAGTTAGAGAGGCACTTTTCCTATGTAAAAAGGGGCACTTTTTGGTGCTTGAAAAAGTGGGAGCACTGTGCCCCCTGCTCCTTGGGAGGTCCGTCTCTGGGCTCTACACCTTCGCATGCTGGGGTTTAAAAGATTGTTCTTTCATACGTATTTTTGCTGTGTTTTTAAAATCAAGGAACATGAGCACACATGCATTTACATAAAAACAAAACACTATGCTTATAGACTGAGAAAAGTATTCTTACAAAATATTGCATTTTATTGTAATAGGATTCCCGTTATATTGAAGCCATGTAGCTAGTAATGGTTTGTTTCCCACTCAATTAAATTCAATTAAATTCAATTTATTTATGTTTCCAACAAAACATTACAAATCAATTTTAAACATTTACAACAATTTAAGAATACATAGTGGAAACAGAGGGGTCCACTAAAAAGCAATAATTGTACAAGTGTGAACACCTCAAATGATAATGATTAATTAAATTAACAGTTCGTTACTACAAAAGGAACTAAAAAATAGATTTAAGAAACTCGCGTTGATAAACTGGATGAGCGTAGGAAAGAATGGGAATGTAATAGGACAATCCAATAGAGATTATGTGATGAAAATAAACGTCCAAAATCCAAAACAAAGTCCCTTTAGTACTGACTGTAGGAGTTGGTCGTGGTCCAATACATCAGGAGTGCTTATGTTCAGCTGCTGAATATTGACAATGCTCATGAAAACGGTAATCCTTCTTTGACTAAAGGCATTTATACGGAAGACTTACAATGTACTTACTTTTAAAAATACAGATTTAGATAAAAATCTAAAATCAGTCAGAATGGAATTTTACGATTATTGTTTAATGGTTTATTTCATACGAACTGTGTGAGCATAATCATGGTATATATATTAAGTATAGCCTTCTTGAAGGGGGGGGGGGCATTTTCAGTTAATGTAATCCCTGTGTATACACTAATATTATTATTCATGATACATACAACAGTAATTTATGTTCAAACTGTGATAATCACATAATTATTAAGAGAAAAAACAAGGGCTATATTTAACATCATGGTTCCTTCTGTCAGGTTTTAAAAATTTGTGTATTAAATCGAACATTATATTATTAAATATGTAAATATTATATGATTTAAGAGGAAATAATTAAGCTGATAAGTCTGGAAAGGATTGAGTGGTACGACCGAATGGTTTTGAAAATACGCACTTGGTCAGGAATAATAATAATAATAATAATAATATGGGTATTTATATAGCGTCGGTATCCGCCAGGCTCTGACGCTAATGGCGCTGTACATATTACAATCACAAACATATCACTTTCTTAACTAAAATAAAGTTAACTGATATAAAGTCAAGATAAAGTTCAGAGATCATCTGGATTGCCAAGCAGACAGTCGGTGATTGATGTCTTCTAGTCCAAGACCAAATGGGATCTTATTTCTATTTGAATGAAGCGGTTTGTTCTATTATATCGCCAGGAATCTGAAAAAATACCCCAAGGAAAAAACGGAAATATGTTCACTGAGATGAGGGAGGAAGAAAACTATTTGTGTTGTTTTGTTTTGACAAATGGTTGGCCCATTCCTGTATGAATGAAAGGTTTATATCAGCATTTAGATATTGAAAGTCTGTCAGTTTGTTTTCGGCTTTCAGCATGTCCTGAGTGTGTCATTACACTTCCAGTCGTTGAAAGAGGAATACAGATCGAGTAGGGTCCCTAATAGTCATCATGTCTCTCTCCCTCTCTGTTAATGAGATGTCATCTTAGTCGCTGACTGAGTAAAATAAAGAAGAGTAAAACAAGAGAATCATTCATAATTGGTAAATGCCTAATTGATAAGGTTTATTTTCTTTTCATCATCAAGCTTTTGCTTGGTATTTTGCCACCTCCTGTCTATCTACCTTAAACTTTAAATTTACATCGATAGACATGATGGAGATTTTTTTGTCAACGGTTACAATTCTCTTCTATTACAGAATAAAAAGAAAACGTAAATCTAATCAGCCATAAAGCTGTTTTTGCCTCACGTTTAACAATAGTATTAAATGAATTTGCTCTGAACAGCCATTTTGGAAAGCGAGCAGGGAGAATCTTTTTAATAAATGCTTGCGCACAAACAAACTTTTGTGATGTTCTCCTCAACATCTGCTCAGGCCATTTTGAGACTGATGCTGTCACAGTAGTAAACCATCCTATTGTAAACTGTCAAACAATATCAGCTGGTCAGACAGCTGCTAGCTCGCATGCCTGGTAAAGCAAGAGTCCAAGCAGTAGCATTTTAATCTTTTACATAGAGCGAAAGTGAATGCTCGTTTTTCGTATTCTACCCATCCCATCTACTGGATTGGTTGGGAACTGAGAGCAAAAGGATATTAAAAATATATATATATAGGTCTCTACTTGTCTTAAAAATACTTTACTGTCGTTTACCTTAATCGAATTTGATATCAAGTTTATATCTCATATTATTAAATTCAGGGTAATACCTGAGTGTTTGGTATATAATTTCTCAACAATAAAACAAAGAACGACCCAATACACAACATAAACATAGAGAAATTACTTTGGATTTTTGCATAACATGTCCTGCTTAGACATAATATTGTAATCAATGGTCAATGAGCTATATGTCGATGTTTTAGAAAATTAGCCAGTGAAATAGTTGGTTATTAACGGTGGGTAAAATTAAAATACTAAAACGAACAGTCATTGTACCTTCACAGATGACCGCAGCGTCCTCGAAATGAGTGCAGTCATGATCTCCATATTCACTTCTTATGCAGTCTTCAAGGCTGTTTTCTGATCCAGTACATTCAACCTCATCAAGATGAATCTCTCCATAACCCGCACCATATGCAGCCATGACTGGTGCACTTGATGCTCTGAAGAACCCTAGCATTCTGCAAACGACATTGGCGTCGTTCAAATCCCATCCATCATCACATACTGTCCCCCAAGTAAAGCTGGCGTTGTACTGAACCTCGACTCGACCTGAAGCATTGTTCGGTCCATTAACCAAACGAACATTAAGATGGTTTCCTATATTAGAAGGCAAGACATTTTGATACAGGTTTTGTTTCTGTGTGTGCTTAAATCAAGTGCATCATTACGGTTGATAGGCTCTCTCATGTCTTGTAGGTTTATTTCCCGATAAAATTAGTATTGCCCAATACAAATCTGATATCGGCAGTCTCTGTTTATCCGATTAATTTGTGTAGCTGTTTCATTTCTTAATCTAATTAATTACGACCCCGACATATACCCAAGTCATTTCTCTTTTCGTCTTTGTGCACCGTTCCTTCAACTGGTATTTTAACATTACAGATCTAATGTCCAGGCTGATGTTGACAGAATAACATTTGCCATAACTATTTCACGACAGCTTGTCAAATTTGCGCAGGAGAGGGGGGGGGGGGCAGACAATATGAGGATGAATGGGTAATGTAGATAAATGAATAAATATATATATATATATATATATACGGTGATTCATAATAATCTAAAAGAGAAAGTCTGTAAAATACATATTGACATTTAAGTAAAATGGGTGGAGTTTTAGTTTACTATAATTTTGGAATCAAAGAGGAAACAAATTCTCACCAATGTTTCGGGTACTCGGGATCATAATATCAGGTTGGATAGCTGGCAAATCTAAAGTCAAAACATGAAAATGTTAAACAACAGTCGTACATTCTGGCTAAGTGTTCGTTATTGTTTGTTATTTACAAACCAGGTTTGTAAATAACAAAAGGAGGTTTGGCGAAACAAAAGGAGGTTTGAGGTCAAACCTTGGTCTGAGCTCAAACCTTGCTTTGTGAATTCGGGCCCTTGTGTCGTACGGCACTGTCTCTCGGTAGGTGTAGAAGTTGAGAAGATTGCTAACAACAGAACTACCATTAAAAGTAATAAGCCTCTTATGCTATGCTCACCTATGTCAATTGCACTCGAGCTCGATGTGTCAAAGTCATCTGGTTCTGAATCTATATTTGATACACCATTGATATGTGGGAGAAGAATGATGGACAATATCAATCGAAACGAGAAAATTACCCAATAAGGCATTGTTGGATTATGAGGAGAGGTAGAGGATTATGATGTATGCATTGATTCAGGCATCCAGCTTTGAGCTATGTGTCACATGCAGGATCGAAGGGTTTTTTCCACATCACACTGAACTTCATGCAATATATTCACAAAAACATGGCACCACGCTTCCTACATCATAAGAATGAGTTACTCCTTTATGTATTTAATATAAGGGCCATCTATTGAGATTACAAGGATTGAAAGAATTATGTTGACATTCTGATCATGAATATGATTGTGTGATTCAACATTTTATGAATTCAATCCTCTCTTTATCTTTCAATGTATTTTCTAGAAAGGAGCAGCAAATTGAAAGTTTGCTTTCTTACTGACAGTTGTTTTCCGAGACCAGCAAAATCTTATATTTCTATTCGAATTTCAAGAAAGGTTTGTGTTCTTGTACACGATGGTTTACCGGATTGGTAAATGCCTATTTGAAAAGGTTTATTTTCTTTTCATCATCAAGCTTTTGCTTGGTATTTTGCCACCTCCTGTCTATCTACCTTAAGCTTTTACATACGTAGACATCATGGAGATTTTTTTTTTAAAGCTTACAATTATCTTCTTTTACAGAATACAAGAAAACGTAAATCTAATCAGCCATAAAGCTGTTTTGCCTCACGTTTAAAAGTAGCATTATGTGAAATTTGCTCTGAACAGCCATTTTGGAAAGCGAGCAGGAAGAATCTTTTTAATTAATGCTTGCGCACAAACAAACTTTGTTGATATTCTCCTCAACATCTGCTCAAGGCATTTTGAGACTGATGTTGTTACAGTAGGAAACAATCCTATTGTACACTGTCAAACAATATCAGCTGTCAGCTCGCATGCCTGGTATAGCAAGAGTCCCAGCTGTTGGGACTAGCATGTTAACGTTTTACATATGCAGAAAGTGAATGCTCGTTTTTCGTACCCATCCCCATTTAGTGGATTGGTTGGGAACTGAGAGCAAAAGGTTATACTAAAAAAAAACATTTTCTAGGTCTCAACTTGTATCGTCTTATAGATAATTTACTGTCGTTTACCTTAATCGAATTTGGTATCAATTTGATATCTCATATTATTAAATTCAGGGTAATACCTGAGTGTTTGGTATAAAAGTTCACAACAATAAAACAAACACCGACCCAATACACAACATAAACATATAATGAATATCTTTGGATTTTTGCATTACATGTCCTGCTTAGACATAATGTAGTAATCAATGGTCAATGAGCTATATGTCGATGTTTTAGAGAATTAGCCAGTGTAATAGTTGGTTATTAACGTTGGGTAGAATTAAAAGACTGAAACGAACAGTCACTGTACCTTCACAGATGACCCCAGCGTCCTCGGAATGAGTGCAGTCATGAACTCCAAATTTACTTTTGATGCAGTCTTCAAGGCTGTTTTCTGATCCAGTACATTCAACCTCATCAAGAAAAATATGTCCAAAACCCGGACCATATTCAGCCATGACTGGTGCACTTGATGCTTTGAAGAACCCTAGCATTCTGCAAACAACAGTGGCGTCGTTCAAATCCCATCCATCATCACATACTGTCCCCCAAGTAAAGCTGGCGTTGTACTGAACCTCGACTCGACCTGAAGCATTGTTCGGTCCATTAACCAAACGAACATTAAGATGGTTTCCTATATTAGAAGCAAGGCAAGACATTTTAATACAGGTTTTGTTTCTGTGTGTGTTTAAATCAAGTGCATCATTACGGTTGATAGGCTCTCTCATGCCTTGTAGGTCTATTTCCCGATAACATTGGTATTGCCCAATACAAATCTGATATCGGCAGTCTCTGTTTATCCGATTAATTTGTGTAGCTGTTTCATTTCTTAATCTAATTAATTACGACCCCGACATATACCCAAGTCATTTCTCTTATCGTCTTTGTGCCCCGTTCCTTCAACTGGTATTTTAACATTACAGATCTAATTTCCAGGCTGATGTTGACAGAATAACATTTGCCATAACTATTTCACGACAGCTTGTCAAATTTGCGCAGGAGACGGGGGGGGGGGGCTGACGATATGAGGATGAATGGGTAATGTAGATAAATATATATATATATATATATATATATATATACGGTGATTCATAATAATCTAAAAGAGAAAATCTGTAAAATACATATTGACATTTAAGTAAAATGGGTGGAGTTTTAGTTTACTATAATTTTGGAATCAAAGAGGAAACAAATTCTCACCAATGTTTCGGGTACTCGGGATCATAATGTCAGGTTGGATAGCTGGCAAATCTATAGTCAAAACATGAAAATGTTAAACAACAGTCGTACATTCTGGCTAAGTGTTCGACAGGGGGGGGGGGGGGAATTTCATTGTTAACCCCTTGTGTCGTACGGCACTGTCTCTCGGTAGGTGTAGAAGTTGAGAAGATTGCTAACAACATAACTACCATTAAAAGTAATAAGCCTCTTATGCTATGCTCACCTATGTCAATTGCACTCGAGCTTGATGTGTCAAAGTCATCTGGTTCTAAATCTATATTTGATACACCATTGATATGTGGGAGAAGAATGATGGACAATATCAATCGAAAAGAGAAAATTACCCAATAAGGCATTGTTGGATTATGAGGAGAGGTAGAGGATTATGATGTATGCATTAATTCAGGCATCCAGCTTTGAGCTGTGTGTCACATTCAGGGTCGACGGGTTTTTCCATATCACACTGAACTTCATTTCGATACAAACAGAAACATGACACCATACTTCCTACATCTTAAGAATGAGTTATTCCTTGATGTATACTATAAGGGCCATCTATTGAGATTAAGAGGATTAAAACAAATATGTTGATACTTCTGATCATGAATATGATTGTGTGATTCAAACTTTTACAAATTCAATCCTCTGTTTATCTTTCAATGTATTTTCTACCGGGCGATCGCTAGCAAGAAACAGCAAATAGAAAGTTTGTTTTCTTGCTAGCAGTTGCTTTCCGAGACCAGCAAAATCTTACGTTCCTATTCGAACTTCAAGAAAGGTTTGTGTTCTTGTACACGATGTTTTACCGGATTGGTAAATGCCTATTTGAAAGTTTTATTTTCTTTTCATCATCAAGCTTTTGCTTGGAATTTAGCCACCTCCTGTCTATCTACCGATTTTTACATACATAGGCATGATGGAAACTTTTTTAAAGGTTACAATTCTCTTCTTTTACAGAATAAAAAAAAACGTAAATGCAACCAGCCATAACGCTGTTTTTGCCTCACGTTTATAAGTACATGTAGCATTATGTGAAATTGCCATTTTGGAAAGAGAGCAGGGAGAGCTCGCGCACAAACAACTTTTGAGATATTGTCCTCAACAACTGCTCAAGGCATTTTGAGACTGATACTGTCACAGTAGTAAAAAATCCTATTGTAAACTGTCAAACGATATCAGCTGGTCAGACGGCTGCCAGCTCGCATGCCTGGTAAAGCAAAAGCCCGAGCAGTAGCATTTCAATCTTTTACATAGAGCGAAAGTGAATGCTTGTTTTTCGTATTCTACCCATCCCTATCTAGTGGAATGTTTGGAAGCTGCGAGCAAAGGGTAATACAAACAAGGGAAACGCTCTCGGCGGTCTCGCCTGCATAACGCAATTCAATATGATAAACCAGAACGTCAATGACGTAGCGCTCATCCGCATCTCGCTACAACAAAAAATCGTAAATTTTATGTGGTACACTTTTGAACTGGTCAAAAAAAAAAAAAAAAATGGGATCTTTAAATTATTTTTGGAATAAATTTGCATAAATTACCATAATTAATTAATGGAGAACAATTTCAAAATTCTGTGTAGAACTTTAGTGTACCAAAGTTAGCTCTACCAGATAAAGCAAACCAAATAAAAATTGGTCGAGAAATGAAGGAGAAGAAGCATTTTTTGTGATTTCGAATAAATTTGCATAAATTAGCATAGATAATGAATTTCACGATTCTGTGTAAACGTTTTGAATCCCCTTCCTAGCCCTATCATATGAAACAATCAGAATCAAAATCGGTTTAAAAATAACGAAGAAGAAACATTTTGAAAATCTTGATGTTGATGCCACAACAAAGTCTAAGTCTTTTTGACCTTAAATGACCTTTGACCTTAACTTAGTGACCTGAAATTCTACTCACATGATTGGGGAGACTTGATAAGACTATAGTCCAAGTTTCATTGACAAAAGACTTATATTTTCAAAATTATATCAAAAATTTAAAAACTTAACCTTAGGTTAAATTTTCGATGATGATGCTACAACATAGTCCAAGTCTGTTGACCTGAAATGACCTTTGACCTTGACTTTGTAATCTGAAATTCTACTCACATGATTGGGGATACTTGATTATCCTATAGTCCAAGTTTCATTGACTTAGAACTTATACTTTAAAAATTATATCAAAAATTCAAAAACTTAACCTTAGGTTAAGTTTTTGATGTTGACGCCGTCGCCGCCGCCGCCGCCGTCGCCGTCACCGGAAAAGCGGCGCCTATGTCTCGCTTTTTGCTACGCAGGCGAGACAAAAAGCATGTTCTAAGAAGTCTCTACTTGTTTCTATAGATACTTGACTTTCGTTGATTTTAATCGAAATTTGTATCAATTTTATATCAAATATTATTGAGTTCAGGGTTAAACCTGAGTATTTGGTATATAATTTCAAAACAATAAAACAAAAACCTACCTAAAACACAACATAAACATATAATAATCTAACTTTGGATTTGTTGCATTACATGTCCTGCTTAGACATAATATAGTAATCAATGGTCAATGAGCTATATGTCGATGTTTTAGAGAATTAGCCAATGCAATAGTTGGTTATTAACGGTGGGTAGAATTAAAAGACTGAAACGAACGGTCACTCTACCTTCACAGATCACCCCAGCGTCCTCGAAATGAGTGCAGTCATGATCTCCATATTCACTTCTTATGCAGTCTTCAAGGCTGTTTTCTGATCCAGTACACTCAACCTCATCAAGATGAATCTCTCCATAACCCGCACCGTATGCAGCCATGACAGGTGCACTTGATGCTCTGAAGAACCCTAGCATTCTGCAAACGACATTGGCGTCGTTCAAATCCCATCCATCATCACATACTGTCCCCCAAGTACCTCTGGCATTGTACTGTACACGTACCTCGACTCGACCTGAAGCATTGTTCCGTCCATTAACCAAGCGAACTTCAAGAGGATTTGGTCCTAAATGTGAGTAGAATGTAGAAGATAGCACTATAATTATGCTACATCATACTACTATAGTCTGTGAAAACACGGACAGTTAATTATCGACGATCTAATGAATATCAATGTTATAATTGATGACACTTTGAAGAGAAGAACAATCTTTTAACTGTCAATTCAATCGAAATGATTATTCATGAAAAGATTATTATATACAGAAAAGCGACATGCATATAAAACAATACAAAGTCCTCATGTTCACATGTCACGTATATAAATAGTCTTACCTTAAAATGATGTTCAAACTGTAAAATTTGTTGTCAACTATGTGTCTAAATTTATCTAAGTAATATATCTAAATGTAACTAACTATTGCATTTTTTTTATAATATTGTTTCCAGATGTAATATTCTCCATTTTGCTGTATTGTTTGTTTTCATTATACATTTGAGCATGTGAAATAAATCAAGTCAATTCGTGACAACTAAATTACATGTGTTATTATCATCATCACCATCATTAGAAGTAACTTACCGACCGTGAGAGACACCCATTAAACGTTTAATCGGAAGTATTTTACAGGATTACGAGACATGTAAATATAATGGCACTCATCAATTTCGTATACTGTATATCTGTAATCCAAATTGTTGAAACTTCCGTCATGATGTCTGCTCATTGATAAAAAGAAATAAAAATAACAGATAATTAAAGCCTGTTGATAAAAATTCAATTGTAGGGAGCGATTTGACAGATTATGTAAAGATGGGTGGTCTTTGATTGGATCAACGATCATCGTTCCGCAACGAGACAATTGTTACCCATAACTCATAACCTAATATTTCAAAGTTTATAGAATCAACCGAAATCTCCCGAAGGAAATTTCTGTAATTATAAAATAACAAAAGAAAGAAAGATTGATGATTGAATCATTGTTACTTTCAGGAGGCTAGTTGGTTCAATTGGTTTAGCCTGCCTGTCGAATCAAAGATCGTGCGTTCGAATCCAACACAGGCAGATGGCTGAAGCCTGCGTCGTGTGTTAACGTGCCCTCAGATATGACGTCAAATGGAGGCCATGTGTAGAGAAGAGTCACCAGCTTTAAATGTTTAAGGTAAAGACCAGTTTTGGAAACGCCCCAATTTCAAAAAATGAAATGGAAGCTCTCATTACCAATCATGTGAAAGAATATGTTTTGACTAATACAGGATGATAAAAAATTTGCCGGGAAAACAGCCTACTTATTCATATATTTGATCAATTTATTTCTCTCATGGTCTGTGAGAGATATAGGGTAGTCCCATATACATCTTTCTGTGTATAGTGCCTGTAACTTTACGAAGAATGGGCCAAATTTCTTATCATTTTGATGATTCCAGAACCTTGCAGATGCTAGATGCTAGATGATCAACCTTTTCTGATCGATTCCACAACGTTTCTTTCACAATGCAATCGCATGACCATAACTGGTCTTTACCTTTAAGAACCC